GACAGGTGAGCTGCTTCTCCGCACCCGAATCCTCCTCGAACGAACCAGATGTTGGAGCAGTTTCTTTCTTCTCTTTCTCTTTATTGCGTTTGCACGGTGCCCTCTCTGGAGTGTGGATTTCCTTATGTTTTCTCAGAAGGCAGTAGGAAGTAAAAGTTTCGTCACAATACTCGCACTCGTAGTTGTCATTATTGAGGTTAGCGCTGTCCGGGTGGTTTTTCGATTTGTGCGTTTTCAGTTTCTGAAAAGAGGCAAACTTGTAGCCGCAGTCGCCGCACGTGTACAGGTCTCTCCCGGTGTGACATTTCTGGTGAAGCTCCAGTTTCTTTCTCCGAATAAAACCGTGTCCACAAACGCCACAAGTGAGAGGTTTTCCTGTGTGAATGTACCGGTGTTCAAGGAGATGGTGTTTCGTTTTGAATCCCTTTTCGCAGTATTCGCAGATGTACCGTTTCGCAGAGTCCAAGTTGATTTTCAGGATAGGAGGAAGTGGAGCGGGCTGAGAAGAAGGAGAGGAGGGAGGAGACTGTGGAGAAGGAAGAGAAGAGGGCTTGCGTACAAACTTGGGAGAAGGTTGAGGAGAAGTATGAGAGGACGGCTGGGTTACAGACTTGGCAGAAAGCTGAGGAGAGGACTTGACGGACGACTGCGGAGAAGCTTGAGAAACGCTCGGAGGCACGGTCGAAGCTTGAGAACGCGCCTGAAGATGGAGCGCCTTCAGAGAATCAAACCTCTCTTTTTTGGGGAGCTCTTTGTCCGGATGCTGCGTGCGAATGTGCCCGTACAAATTTCCCAGAATCCCAAACCACCTCCCACAGTAATCACACTTGTACGGCTGCTCTCCGGTGTGGCTCCTTTCGTGCAAAACCAGAACCGTTTCGTTAAGAAAACTCATGTTACAGTATTTACATTTGTACGGCTCTTTCCCGATATGAGACAACTGGTGGATTTGTAGCTGCGTTTTATTCGGGAAACTTTGTCCGCAATTTTCACACTTGAAACTTTTGTGATTTGCGGTTTGCATCTTGTTCGGGGCGTTCTTACTCTGACCGAGGAGTTTATCTGGTTCTGGAGTTTCCTCATTGGGCGCGGTCCCTTCCCGTTTGTGGCTTCGTTCGTGATGTGCAAGAAAACGTTTATACACAAACCTCTTCTGGCAGTACTTGCACTGATATCGTTCTTTCTTGTGGTTCGTGGAGTGGTGCTCGATCAGCTGTTTCTTCGTGGGGAACTGCTCTTTGCACTCGTAGCACATAAACGACTGGCTCCGCGATTCCGAAGCGCGCGACGCATCCTTGTGGTGCTTGAGCGTGTGGGCGTAGAGTTTTGCCAGAATGTGAAACACTCTGTCACAGTGATCGCACTTGTACGGCTTCTCTCCCGTGTGCATTTTTTCGTGTATTTTCAAATGGTTCTTACTCATGAACTCGCTCCCACAGTACAGACAGCGGTGAATGGGTTTGCCGTCGTGAAAACGCAGGTGAGTTGTGAGCCGGGACTTACTGGAAAACCTCCTCCCACACTTGCTACAAACGCAACTAAGATTATTATTATTATTAGCGGCCTTTAGTTTACTCTTTTTTTCACTCTTGTTCGAGGTCTCATTTTCACCTGGTTTATGTTTTGCAGCGTTTCTGTGAGCTTCTTCTTTTTGGCATAGCTCAGGTTCTTTCAAAACTCCATCAGTTTCACTTTTATCTCCCCTTTTGGCTTTTTTGTTGTCAAATCCGTTCAGCGTTGCGTCAGTCTCTTCACTTTTCCCGTTCTTAAATTTATGCTTCATGCGCTGGTGTTTCTCCAGATTCCCCACGGAGTTAAAACTGCTCCCACACGCGTCACACGGGAACGGTTTGTCCTCCGCGTGTGTCCACAGGTGCTGGACCAGGGACCACGCGCGGCTGAACGTTCTCCCGCAGTTCTGGCACTGGAACGACTCTTTCCTTTTACGCATGCGCTCCTGTGGCGTGTCCGTAGGTGAGCTGGGCGACTCCTTTTCCTCCATGTCCACAAATCGTCGAGGTTTCTGCGCAAAAAGAAATGCAACAAAAACGATTCAAATACAGTTTTAGAATCACAACTTTAGAAATAATTCGGTTTTGATGAAAATAAATGAAGTTTATCGAGGATACGACCAAGAGTTAGCTGGCTGCAAGATTGTCCGAGAAATTCTGTTCTTCCGGGTTATTTATTGTCCTTTTTGAGTATAGACTTTCTACTTTTGAAGCATAACGCAATTTTTCTGTCAGGAAGTAGTTTAAATAAGTATTGATGCGCGTAAATACGTGCGCAAAACATTTACGCACAGTACCAATTATTACTGAAGCAACTATAAATCATGTATTACGTATTTATTATCTACGGTATACACATTAGTTCAGTTTTTCCATGTTTCTTGCCAAGTGACTGTGCTGTTAGACCCTTTCTGTTTTGCATTTGCTAGCTAAAACTAACTAGCTACCCACTCCAAACCATGGAAGTAACAGTTTTCCTACGTCGCCCTCAAAACATCCACATTTAACGCTGTTTCCTTCGCTATTCTTTGGCTGCAACGAAGCATTTCAGTGAGTTTTTTGCAGAAAACTTACCCAAACAAAGGCGACCAGACCAACTCCACCGCCACAGCGTCTGCAACATGGACGAGGAGGAGAGTCCGGCGAGCGCCCAAACGTGCTCCCCGAAAAACACCGCCCCCTTCAGCCTCCTCCTCCTCCTCTTCCTCCTCCTCCTCTTCCTCCACCTCTTCTTCCTCCTCCTCCTCCTCGGCTCCTGTGAACTCAGCTGTGGCTGTCGTGCCTTAAACTGTGCCTTTATAATCGAACTGTTGCCTCCAGATCAATTCTCTCATGGATTATTAAACATTGTTAATATATCAGGTCTGAACCCAGTGGCGGAGTTAGAAATCTGGGGGCCTGAGGTGAACTTGTGTTTGGGGCCCTCGCTATAATGCACTGATTTGTTGTTTTGTTTTGTTACCTGGTCCCCGAAGGCTTGACCAGGTTTTGTATTCACCCTGTGTGTGTGTGTGTGTGTGTGTGTGTCCACCAGCGATAATTCCAGCATTTATGGACCAATTGTCACCAAATTTGTTACGTGGGTCAAACCCTCGTGCCCGATGCCGCAAAAAAAAAACGTTTGGTGACAATCCGAAGTTATTTGAGGTCACACGGGTCAATTGAAGGTCACGCCATTATAAAGAATAGGCTATTTCAGCAATTTCTGAACCAACTGCGGCCTAAAATATTCACCCAATCATCACACAAGTTGGCACACACATAACCGGAGCACACTGGATATTACAGGTTGAGACTGGTCAAAGTCAAAGTTGAAGGTCAAAGTAACCAAGGTCAAATATGTGTTTTTGGTCATAACTAAGAGAAGGATGGAGTTCGAGCAACAGGAGTGTCTTAAAATCTCAGAATCTATTTATAATTCTCTGCATTTGTAGAGTCAGATATTAATAGTTTTCCAGATAATCACTAATTATAACAGTTCTTTTCTCTTTCAGCGTTTGTCATTAAAATTCTAATTGGAACAAAAATAATTTCCATTTCTTGTTTTTCTGGTGAAACACACACACTGATCTACAGTCACACTAACACATACACAACTCATGAACAATCACATTTTGGTTCCACACTAGTAAACACAGACTTTCTCATGTGTGACCAACATCACACTAATGTTCATGGGCCTGTACACATACACACATTACACTGTGGATACAAAGATCATGTGATATGGGCTGGGCTCCTCATAAACTGCTTCTGTGGTGATGAACTGAAACACCGACACCTCATGGGACCGGGTTGATATCTCTGCACTTGCACTTATTATTGTGTATTTTCATTTATTTATTGTATTTTTTATTTTTCTCCATTGTTCTTGAGACACACACGTCTATTTGAATGAGGGTGGATTGGAAACTTGTCTTATTAGTTACATTACATTTTTGTTTACATCCATATGATTATGATTATGATTATGCTGTGATTATGTTCAAATCAGGGTGTGGTGGATACTTCTGCCACCACTCCATAGTGTCAGTATTATTTAATTTCACTTACATTAATTAATTACATTACACATCATTTAATTCCTTTATTTAGACTTATGTTCTAATTTGAGTGCACACATTTTAGTTAATATAAGTCTAATTTACTTACACTTGTTCTTTTTGTTTTTTTGAACACTGGACGGACAGAGGACCCTGGGAGAGACCATCAGGACTCAGCAAAGGGGGGGAGCACTATTTAGTTTGTTTTACTAAGTTAGTTTGTTTAGTTTGCTTTAAGGTCATGTTATTATCAATTATTATTTTCTGTGTTATAATTATTTGCCTTTCTGTTACTTTGATTAAGTTATTGGTTTAGTGAATTAATTAGTGTAATTCCTCCCTCTTGTGTTCACTTTATTTGGTCCTCAAGTATTTAAACACTGTTCCTTTGTCTGGTTGGGTTAGTTTTGTTCTGTTCAGTTTGATTTTGAGTTCCCCCAGTTGGGCCCGGCTTTTCTGTTAATAATTTGCCTCAATTGAACCTTTGTTAAATTATATATTTTTTGACTTCATTAAATTTAAACTTCTTTTTATACCTTGTCGTTGCCTTTCTCTTTGGTCCACTACACGGGGTCAAGCTGACTTGTCCATTCTAACGTGAAAGAGGGGACGCTTTGACCGTTAAAATAGATTTAACAGATTCTATTTTGATTGTGTTTTCTTGTTTAAATATAAAACTACTCTCATTTAATGTCATATTGAGAGAAAATCAAATTGCTCTGAGGCCTGGCACTGAAGGCATTTGGTTGGGGGCCCCTCCAGGTTCAGGGGCCCTAGGCGGCCGCCTACTGCCACTTCTATCTGAACCAATGAACGTCCATGTTAATGCCACTGGCTTTCCTTTTGATTGCTTGTCTATTGTCTGCTCTCTCTAATACATGGTACCATATTGTTTTTGCAAGTTGGTAAAATAAAAACAAAACAAACAAATGGAAAGTTTGGGGTAAACTGGTGATTATTGCACATTCATTCATTTACAACAACATTCCCACTCGTCTGTAATGGCTGAACACTACAAACTTATGTTCTGTAACAGGACCATGAACAAATAAACACTTTTTCACAAATTATTCAACAGGCTTGTAATAATTATAATACTGTAATGGATGAACTTGTTTAAAAGGTCCTATATTATATAAAATAGACTCCTATGAGCTTTAAGTCATGTTCTAATGCTTTTCCCTCCTCAAAAACAGTGTTTTGTGGAGTTGTGTTTTGTCTCCTACATTATTACATTATCTACATCTGCAAAACACTAAAACAGATTCTAATTCTAATATTTTACTTCACATTTTTCATCACAGCAGCCATCAAAAGAATAAACACATGTTGTGGGTTATTAACAAGAGTCAAAACAGAATAAAAAGACAACGTGCAATTTCAGGTCTGTCTCTGATTAGAGAAGTGCAGTGAAAAACAATACAATGACAAACAACATAGACAAACTTCAGCTAAAATCTAATGAAAAGAAAATCTTTACATATAATTTAAAGCTTTTAATTGTTGACACTACACAGAGCTCAGTTCCACAGTCTGGAGTCTCTGAAGCCTGGTCTCCAGCTTTTTGAGTCTGACTTTAGTCTCACTTGATTCGGCCTCAGCAGCTCTTTCTCCTTTAGTGTGTTCAAGAGGGTGCACCTTCAGATGACCAGCTTGTCTCAAAGTCGTCCCACACTGGTCAGAGCTGCCGCTTTTCTCTTCACTCTGGAACATTTGGACATGTTTCAGATGGTTCCTCACAGACCTGAAATCCTTCCCCTCTTTCTCCACAGTCCTCTGGTTCATCTCCTGTGTGTGTTCTGTAGTGACTGGAGAGCTCCTGGGATGTTCTAAAAGCCTCTTCACACTGGTCACACTCATATAGTATCAACCAGGAGTGAGTTCTCATGTGTCTATTTAGATTGGATGATACAGAGAAAGTTTTCCCACACTGGTCACACTCGTATGGCCTCTCTCCAGTGTGGACTCTCATATGTACTTCTAAGTGGCCTGACTGTGAAAATTTCTTCTCACAGACCTCACAGCTGTATCGTCTTTCCCCTGTGTGGACTCTAATATGTTCATTGAGTGCACCAATGTGTTTAAATTGCTGCCCACACTGGTCACATTTAAATGCTTTCTCTGCTGTGTGAACTCTCCTATGTTGATGGAGATGACCAGACTTTCTAAATTCCCTCCCACACTGGTCACATTCAAATGGTTTTTCTCCTGTGTGGATTCTTATATGTTCACTGAGAGTACTAGAGTGTTTAAATCCCTTCCCACACTGGTCACAGCTGTATGGTCTTTCCCCTGTGTGAGTTCTGTAGTGTACTTTCAGTCTGGAAGCATTTGGCCACACCGTCTCACACTGGTCACACTTGTATGGTTTCTCTCCTGTGTGGATTCTCATATGTGCTAGTAGGGTGCCTGACTGGGAAAATGCCTTTTCACAAACTTCACATCTGTGTGGTTTTTCCCCTGTGTGGACTCTCATGTGTCGATCGAGATGACAAGACATTTTAAATTCCATCCCACACTGGTCACAGCTGTACGGTCTTTCTCCTGTGTGAGTTCTGTAGTGGACTTTCAGTCTGTAAGCACTTGGCCACATCTTTCCACACTGGTCACATGTAAACCCCATTCTGTTGGTGGATCTTGTAGCTCTGCATTAGAACGAAGGAAAGAAAATGTCAAGTAAAATCACTTTTTAAACTGTTCAAATAAAGTAACTGTAACTAAATACACATAAAATCACACATAGTAAATCATATGTAAGAATGGTTCAGTGAGTGTGTTTACATGCACATCAGTATCACAGTTATGATATTTTGAATGTTTTTAATATCCCAGTTTCGTCATGGTGCATGTATACGCTGTATCCCGGTTATGAGAAATATTCCAATAGTATATACTGTAACATAAAGTTGAGTGCTCATGCACTTGTCCAACACTGTTTTAGTTGACTTGTTCTTTGTGGCGCTTGTGCAAATTGTGTAAAATGATCCATTACCACTAGGATGTATTTGTAACACTAGTCGGCTAGATTGACTACGACCACGGTAAATAACGAGTAATTACAATTGTCAGCATCAGAAGGCTGGTCCTTAAAGGAGCCTGAGGTGTGAATAAAACACAGACAACCTGTATTAAAGATTTAAAGCTAAATGTATTGATATATATTAAATAATAATTAAACAAACAGGACAACAACAGTAATAGACGGTATTTAGTATTTGTATTATTGTTTGAAGCAGCGGTTGAATCCAAAAGAATAATAGTTCCAGTAATAAAGCTACGTCACTTCATTCATATTCAATAAGGAAAAACAAAATGGAAGCCTAGAGATTATTTACTGTTCACCCAAAAAGCTGTCAAAATGGACAAAAAATTCAAAAGGAAAAATAATGAATGAAAGCTTCAAAAAGTCCCAGCGCGAGTAAACGGAGCTAATATCCACAGGGTTTTGAATGGGAGCGGAGCGAACAAACAAGACGCTAAGTGCGATTTAACAACACAAATACGAACTAATCATAAAAATAATTCACCGATTGTTGCTCAACAAACTCACCGATGAGGAAGAGACAGTTTGGAATCCGAAAAATGCTCCAATTCACAGGTTTGTCCCTGACGCAGAGCTGAACATGAACCACAGTGGAGTTTTATTGACCAACAACAACTGGAGCATTACCGCCCCCCACTGGTGAGGAGTGTGAACTGAAACACCACTGACTAATCACTTAATTAAAAATAAACACATAAAATAATAATAATAATACTAATAACAGCCGTGATCAAATAATAAAATAAATAATAAATAATAAAACAATTATGAATCAAATCCCATTAATCAAATTAATATCTCAAACAAACTTCAATAAAACTTTAAAACTACTATTTCTTGTGTGCTGCTGTAATAGTTCTATTAAGTCAAATTTCATTTTAAATCCTTGATGCCTTCCTTCATTATATTTCTCTCCTCTTTATATGTGTTACGATCCATAAATACATTCACAATATAAACTAAATTTGCCATTATATATAATATATATATATATATATATATATATATATATATATATATATATATATATATATATATATATATATATATATATATATATATATATTATTTTTTTTTTTTTTTCCATCAACTTAAAAGTGCACTATGTAACTTTTTTGTTTGGAGTTCCCTCACCTGCTTGTTTCTATGGAGATGCCATTGCTCAGTTGTGAAAATTTATGTTATGACATATTTGGATATTTGGTCTCCATGGAGACAGAAAGGTTCCATACATTCCAGACAAAGAAATAATATCTCCATGGAAAAAAGTGACAGTTCTGTACCAGGGCCATGAACAAATAAAACACTTTTTTCAAATTATTCAACAGGTTTGTAATAATTATACTTCAGTAACACATGAATGTCTTTAAAAAAAAAAAGGTCCTATATTATGTAAAATAGACTCCTGTGAGGTTTAAGTCCTGTTCTAATGCTGTTCCCTCAAAAACAGACCTGGAGTTATGTTTTGTCTCCTGCATTATTACATTTTCTACATCTGCAAAGCTCAAAATGATAAAGATTTTTATTTTTTTTATTAGAAAGAGGTTTTAGCTGAAGTATTTCCATGTTATATTGTTTTTCACATTAAGCTTCACTGCACTTCTCTAATCAGAGACAGACCTGAAATTGCACTTTGTCTTTTTATTCTGTTTTGACTCTTGTTAGTAACCCACAACAGATGTTTATTCTTTTCATGGCTGCTGTGATGAAAATAGTGAAATAAAATATTAGAATTAGAAAACAAAATCAGTTTAAGCGTTTTAAGCTTTTAATTGTTGACACTACACAGAGCTCAGTTCCACAGTCTGGAGTCTCTGAAGCCTGGTCTCCAGCTTTTGAGTCTGACTTTAATCTCACTTGATCCGGCCTCAGCAGTTCTTTCTCCTTTAGTGTGTTCAAGAGGGTGCACCTTCAGATGACCAGCTTGTCTCAAAGTCGTCCCACACTGGTCAGAGCTGCAGCTTTTCTCTTCAGTCTGGAACATTTGGACATGGTTCAGACGGTTCCTCACAGACCTGAAATCCTTACCCTCTTTCTCCACAGTCGTCTGGTTCATCTCCTGTGTGTGTTCGATAGTGACTGGAGAGCTCCTGGGATGTTCTAAAAGCCTTTTCACACTGGTCACACTCATATAGTATCAACCAGGAGTGAGTTCTCATGTGTTTATTGAGATTGGATGATTGAGAGAAAGTTTTCCCACACTGGTCACACTCGTATGGTTTCTCTCCAGTGTGGACTCTCATGTGTGATTCTAGGTGGCCTGACTGTGCAAATGTCTTCTCACAAACCTCACAGCTGTATCGTCTTTCCCCTGTGTGGATTCTCATGTGCTGATGGAGATGACTAGACACTCTAAATTCCTTCCCACACTGCTTACATTCAAATGGTTTCTCTCCTGTGTGGATTCTCATATGTTGATGGAGAGCACTGGAGTCTCTAAATTCCCTCCCACACTGGTCACATTCAAATGGTTTTTCTCCTGTGTGGATTTTTATATGTTCCCTGAGAGTACTTGAGTGTTTAAATCCCTTCCCACACTGGTCACAGCTGTATGGTCTTTCCCCTGTGTGAGTTCTGTAGTGTACTTTCAGTCTGGAAGCATTTGGCCACACTGTCTCACACTGGTCACACTTGTATGGTTTCTCTCCTGTGTGGATTCTCATATGTGCTAGTAGGGTGCCTGACTGGGAAAATGCCTTTTCACAAACTTCACATCTGTGTGGTTTTTCCCCTGTGTGGACTCTCATGTGTCGATCGAGATGACAAGACATTTTAAATTCCATCCCACACTGGTCACAGCTGTACGGTCTTTCTCCTGTGTGAGTTCTGTAGTGGACTTTCAGTCTGTAAGCACTTGGCCACATCTTTCCACACTGATCACATGTGAACCCCATTCTGTTGGTGGATCTTGTAGCTCTGCATTAGAACGAAGGAAAGAAAATGTCAAGTAAAATCACTTTTTAAACTGTTCAAATAAAGTAACTGTAACTAAATACACATAAAATCACACATAGTAAATCATATGTAAGAATGTTTCAGTGAGTGTGTTTACATGCACATCAGTATCACAGTTATGATATTTTGAATGTTTTTAATATCCCAGTTTCGTCACGGTGCATGTATACGCTGTATCCCGGTTATGAGAAATATTCCAGTAGTATATACTGTAACATAAAGTTGAGTGCTCATGCACTTGTCCAACACTGTTTTAGTTGACTTGTTCTTTGTGGTGCTTGTGCAAAGTGTGTAAAATGATCCATTACCACCAGGATGTATTTGTATTACACAGTTTTTTCATATAATAAAAAAAATAAAATAAAAAATGGCAATGTTAAAAGGTCAAGTCATTAAGTATGACAGATAAGAGGTCAGACAGGGTCAATGTAAATTCAAACCATAAATTAAATTAAAAGAGGTGAGAGGTGTCTAAGAGTTCATGGCTGGTGATCAGTTCTTTTAGAATGATAAAGAGTTCTTGTTGTCAATAAAAGCGGAGAGAGGCAAAGAAAAGTTTCAGTTCTTTGATAATGTTGATTTCTGTTTTATCTTGCGAAAATGAAAAAAATAAGCGCAGCGGCACCGATCGTTGTTACAGCAAATTTTATGACGTTACAGCAGAATTCACAGCATCAGGGCGACAAACAAGCCAAAAAGTCAGAGAGTCTGGAAGCATCTAGCCGCGGTTTCAGTGAAGTCTGAGGAGTCTGAGAGTCAACAAAGCCTATAAATAATATTGTTGCTAGATTGACTACGACCACGGTAAATAACGAGTAATTACAATTGTCAGCATCAGAAGGCTGGTCCTTAAAGGAGCCTGAGGTGTGAATAAAACACAGACAACCTGTATTAAAGATTTAAAGCTAAATTTATTGATATATATTAAATAATAATTAAACAAACAGGACAACAACAGTAATAGACAGTATTTAGTATTTGTATTATTGTTTGAAGCAGCGGTTGAATCCAAAAGAATAATAGTTCCAGTAATAAAGCTACGTCACTTCATTCATATTCAATAAGGAAAAACAAAATGGAAGCCTAGAGATTATTTAGTGTTCACCCAAAAAGCTGTCAAAATGGACAAAAAATTCAAAAGGAAAAATAATGAATGAAAGCTTCAAAAAGTCCCAGCGCGAGTAAACGGAGCTAATATCCACAGGGTTTTGAATGGGAGCGGAGCGAACAAACAAGACGCTAAGTGCGATTTAACAACACAAATACGAACTAATCATAAAAATAATTCACCGATTGTTGCTCAACAAACTCACCGATGAGGAAGAGACAGTTTGGAATCCGAAAAATGCTCCAATTCACAGGTTTGTCCCTGACGCAGAGCTGAACATGAACCACAGTGGAGTTTTATTGACCAACAACTGGAGCATTACCGCCCCCACTGGTGAGGAGTGTGAACTGAAACACCACTGACTAATCACTTAATTAAAAATAAACACATAAAATAATAATAATAATAATACTAATAACAGCCGTGATCAAATAATAAAATAAATGATAAATAATAAAACAATTATGAATCAAATCCAATTAATCAAATTAATATCTCAAACAAACTTCAATAAAACTTTAAAACTACTATTTCTTGTGTGCTGCTGTAATAGTTCTATTAAGTCAAATTTCATTTTAAATCCTTGATGCCTTCCTTCATTATATTTCTCTCCTCTTTATATGTGTTACGATCCATAAATACATTCACAATATAAACTAAATTTGCCATAATTATACTGTGTGTGTATATATATATATATATATATCTATATATATATCTCTATATATATTGATAGATAGATATATATAGATATTTTTTTTTCCATCAACTTAAAAGTGCACTATGTAACTTTTTGTTTGGAGTTCCCTCACCTGCTTGTTTCTATGGAGATGCCATTGCTCAGTTGCGAAAATGTATGTTATGACATATTTGGTCTCCATGGAGACAGAAAGGTTCCTTACATTCCGGATAAAAAAATAATATCTCCATGGAGAAAAGTGACAGACGCGCCACCAGAAAAGTTACACAATGCACCTTTTAAATGAGACTGCATCTGAGCCTCCATCAGGACTCAGGTCAACGTCATTTTTTCCAGTTGTAGTTCTCCTTACATTATCCTCAAGTCTGACAAATCACTTTATCATATGACAGAGGAAGAAAACTTAGGATCCATCTTCTTTTCAATTTCTTTATTAAGACAATAAAGACAAGAAGAAAGTGTAGATACACTTAAAATGTCACCACAAAGTTTCTTAAAAATACTCTTCAAAACTTTATATATTCTCTGTTCATGTTTTGTTTTATTATATTTATACATAAGACACATCATTGTTTTGTGACAATATAACTTTGGGAAAACACATTAGAGAATGACCTTTCTTTGTAAATGACCTTGTTGGAGAAGATTGTAGTTTACTCGAATATGATCAGATAACTGGCCTTTATGGAAACATCTGCTCCCATCATGTGTAGAATCAATTCACTGCTTTGAGATGGAATTAGAAGCACATAATTAACAGTGAAACAACAAAGTTATTTGTCTGTCAGCCTTTTGCAGGAACCATAAATGGTCAAAAGGAACGAGGATGAATAAAAGTATTAATAATTTCAATTTAAATAATAAATCAGTGATAAATATTCCATATAGAAACTATTAAAAAATGGGAAATAAGTAAGTAAGTCTTTATTTATACAGCGCTTTTCACACAGATATTTGTCACAAAGACGTTTTACAAAGCATTATTCATTCACTCCAGACCCGGTGATGGTAAAGTACTACCACAGATGCCCTTGGTCATCGGTCAGTAAAAAATATCTTTAATTATAATTTTAAGTTTTTAATTGTTGACACTACACAGAACTCAGTTCCACAGTCTGGAGTCTCTGAAGCCTCATCTCCAGCTTTTTGAGTCTGACTTTAGTCTCACTTGATCCGGGCTCAGCAGCTCTTTCTCCTTTTGTGTGTTCAAGAGGGTGCACCTTCAGATGACCAGCTTGTCTCAAAGTCGTCCTACACTGGTCAGAGCTGCAGCTTTTCTCTTCAGTCTGGAACATTTGGACACGTTTTAGACGGTTCCTCACAGACCTGAAATCCTTCCCCTCTTTCTTCACAGTCGTCTGGTTCGTCTCCTGTGTGTGTTCGGTAGTGACTGGAGAGCTCCTGGGATGTTCTAAAAGCCTCTTCACACTGGTCACACTCATATAGTATCAACCAGGAGTGAGTTCTCATGTGTTTACTGAGATTGGATGATACAGAGAAAGTTTTCCCACACTGGTCACACTCGTATGGTTTCTCTCCAGTGTGGACTCTCATGTGTGATGTTAGGGTCCATGACCGTGAAAATGCCTTATCACAAACATCACATCTGTATGATTTTTCCCCTGTGTGGATTTTCATATGTTCACTGAGTGCACCAGATTGTCTAAATTCCTTCCCACACAGTTCACATTCAAATTGTCTCTCTCCTGTGTGGATTCTCATATGTCGCTGAAGATCAAAGGATTGTCTAAATTCCTTCCCACACTGGTCACATTTAAATGGCGTTTCTCCTGTGTGGATTCTCATATGTCGATGGAAATGACCAGATTGTATAAATTCCTTCCCACACTGGTTACATTCAAATTGTTTCTCTCCTGTGTGAACACTCATATGTAATCTTAGAGTCCTTGAGCGTGAAAAAGTCTTCTCACAAACAAAACATCTGTATGATTTTCCCCCCGTGTGGGTTTTCTTATGTTCACTGAGCGCACCAGACTTTCTAAATTTCTTCCCACACTCTTCACATTCAAATGGTTTTTCTCCTGTGTGGACTCTCATATGTTCATTGAGAACACCAGAGTGTATAAATCCCTTTCCACACTGGTTACAGCTGTATGGTCTTTCTCCTGTGTGAGTTCTGTAATGTATTTTAAGTCTGGAAGCCTTTTGACACACCTTCCCACACTGGTCACATGTGAAGGCCATTCTGTTGGTGGATCTTGTAGCTCTGAATTAAAACAAAGGAAAGAAAGTGTCAAGTAAAATCACTTTTTTAACTGTTCAAATAAAGTAACTGTAACTAAAAACACATAAAATCACACATAGTAAATCATATGTAAGAATGTTTCAGTGAGTGTGTTTACATGCACATCAGTATCACAGTTATGATCAGGTTTTTTGAATATCCTGGTTTCGTCATGGTGTATGTATACGCTGTATCCTGAATAAACCAGTATCCCGGTTATGAGAAACTGGGATATTGTAGCTGAGAAATTACAACAGTAACCGGGATACTGTGGCGTGTATACGCAGTATCCCGAATACTGCAACATAAAGTTGAGAGCTCATGCACTTGTCCAACACTGTTTTAGTTGACTTGTTCTTTGTGGCGCTTGTGCAAAGTGTGTAAAATGATCCATTACCACCAGGATGTATTTGTAACACTAGTCGGTTAGATTGACTACGACCACGGTAAATAACAAGTAATTACAATTGTCAGCATCAGAAGGCTGGTCCTTAAAGGAGCCTGAGGTGTGAATAAAACACAGACAACCTGTATTAAAGATTTAAAGCTAAATGTATTGATATATATTAAATAATAATTAAACAAACAGGACAACAACAGTAATAGACGGTATTTAGTATATGTATTACTGTTTGAAGCAGCGGTTGAATCCAAAAGAATAATAGTTCCAGTAATAAGTTCAAAGGTTCACAGAAAAATGTGTGCAGATGTATTTTAGTCATATATAAGTTTATCAATATATAACTTTGTAAATGAATATGTTATCTATTTTATTTCATTTTCATCCTGGAATCAGTTGACACAGTCATTAATCAATAATTCATTCATTAATCAAAAAGGAAGTGCACTTTTTCATATATCAAAAATACTCAATTGTACTCAATAAATCAAATGACTTAAAAAGATCAAAATACTCGAGTAGATGATCAGATGAATAATTAAAGCTGCGCAAAAAATCTAAAATAGTTGTAGCTATGTCAGTTCAATCATATTCAATGAGGGGAAATCATATATATATATTATCATTAATATTATGATTAAGCGTTTGCTCAAAGAGTTGTTAAAATGGACATTGAAATCAATTTAAAAGGGAAAATAATAAATGAATGAATACATGAATAACCTAATGAGATTTAATGTTAGAATATCACTGATTCAACTTTGAATTACTGAGGTTCGTGTTTTTAATTTTAAGCCTCTACATCTTTGTTGTGATACTTGCTGTAAAAGGTGTTTTATTTACAATTTCAATGCAAATGCTGCTTGTGTATTTAGGTCAGTAGGAAGTGGACCAGGATCAAATCTTGACCATATCGTTTTGTCAAAGCCTGATCCTGTCAGATCTCACAAACTCAGCAGGGCCTGGTCAGTTTTTGGATGGAGACACTGGGAAAATCAGGAGCCACAGGAGGCGCCAGTCACAAAAACGGTCGTTGTGTCCCTAGGCAAGACACTTCACCCACATTGCCTAGTATGAAATTGGAGTGTGGAGTGATGTGATGTCAGCCTCGCTTCCGTCAGTCTGCCCCAGGGCAGCTGTGGCTACAGTAGTCTCAGTAGTAGACTCAGCAATGCTCTGTAAAGCGTCTTTGAGTGTCCAAAAAAGCGCTGTATAAAACTGATGCATTATTATTATTATTATTATTATTATTATTATTATTATTATTATTATTATTATTATTATTATTATTAAAATCTGAAGCATATTTAGGCTCCAAACGACAGAATAAACAGATACGTGGCAGATCCGCAGCATGTCTGGGGCAGATAACTCGGTTCTGAACGCGGATCCAAAACGGGTCCTGGGCGGATCCGCGGCGAGTGATTTTTACTCTCTGGGTAAGTGCTATTTAACAACACAAATACGAGCTAATCATAAAAATAATTCACCGATTGTTGCTCAACAACTCACCGATGAAGAAGAGACAGTTTAGAATCCGAAAAATGCTCCAGTTGACAGATTTGTCCCTGACGCAGAGCTGAACATGAACCACAGTGAGGAGGAGGAGGAGACAGGGAAGTGACCTCCGGGGCTTAAAGGAACATGAGGCACAAGTAGAACATCCAAACAAGTAGAACATCCAAACAAGTAGAACATCCAAACAAGTAGAACATCCAAACAAGTTGTTCAGTCAAATCGGTCTCTTATTAAGCCCAAAGTCCTTTCTGTGTCCCATTTCTTTGTGCAGCTCTGAAGACAGTGTCATGTTTTTCCTTTGGGAGGAGCTGAGCTCTACCATTGACTCGCCTGTAGAGGGCGACATCCACATTCACAGAACGTTTGTTCCACTGGAGGATTTTTACATCTGGAACAGGACCGGACACAAATAAACACTTGTTTTTAACTTCGCTTCTGTTTATTTCGCTATGACAAGTTGTCAAACTTATTGTGTTGAGTTTTCATCCATATGAGCCGAGTAGCACCGCCCAGAAGCTTCAAACGAGCCGCTGTCAAACGAAATATGCGGAATTGTTAAGATAAAGCTTTAGCTTTAGCTTTAGCTTTAGCATCTCCTATTTGTTTGTATTGTTATCTTAGCTTAGCTTAGCTTAGTTTAGCTTAGCTTAGCTTAGTTTAGCTTAGCCGCTGCCACTGTTTTCTATGGGTCCTGTTAGCACTGCCTTTTTATTCCAACTTTCTGCATTATTCTTTACAATGTTATGATCCAATTGGAACGTAATCAAGTTGAAATGATTACTTATATTGTCCAATGTTGTCATTTTATTTATTATGCACTTTGTGGCGTTTTTTAGCCTAAACATTGTGTCTTACTTGGTCCTATTGAAATGTTCTTTTCAGTTTAAATGCTGCGGGGCCAGACTGACCTGCGCCCCCCCCACGCGCTTTAACGCACAGGAAGCTATTTAATTAATCATGTTTTGGTTACTTGATTAATTAATAGAACATTTCAAATATATCGTACAATATCTGAATTTCTATATGCAGAAGTATTTATATATTTATAATACAACTAGTATTATATTTAATTGTAATTACATTATGAATTGTGTGCACATAGATTTATTACATCGCATCGTTCTGTTCTCTGCACAGACCAGGTTTTTTGATGACGAGCTAAGGCAAGGCTTCTGAATCACTGAAACCACACGAAATACAACTCAAGTCTGTGGAGATTCCTGCCAGGAGCCCCGACACCTCCTCTCTCTGTCCGGGCTGGTAGGAGTGGGTCCCTCTCCACAGATCTGACCTGTACCTTGGTCTGGTTGACCTTATAAAGCCAGGTCAACTTGTCATTTTCTCCAGTTGTAGTTCTCCTTACGTTTATGTTTACATTTATTCTATGACAGAAGAAGCAAACTCAAGATCCATCTTCTTTTCATTTTCTTTATGAAAACAATGAAGACACTCTACACTTTTCGTAAAATGTCATCACAAACTTTCTTGAAAAATACTCTACAAAACTCCATATATTCTCTCTTCATTTTTTGTATTGTTTTTTACATAAACAAATCATGTTTTTGTGACAATTGTTTTGTCCCTCTCCTCAGTCTCCACTAAAACTCTTTTATTTCCACAGTGGCACAATCTCCCTCAGGTTTTGGAACACAAATGGAACTTTTGGGGTAAATTGGGGATTACTGCACATTCATTCATTATCAACAACATTCCCATTAATTTGTAATGGCTGAACACTACAAGTTTATGTTCTGTACCAGGGCCATGAACAAATAAACACTTTTTTCAAATTATTCAACAGGTTTGTAATAATTATACTTCAGTAACACATGAATGTCTCAAAATGATAAAGATTTTTATTTTTTTTTATTAGAAAGAGGTTTTAGCTGAAGTATTTCCATGTTATATTGTTTTTCACATTAAGCTTCACTGCACTTCCCTAATCAGAGACAGACCTGAAATTGCACTTTGTCTTTTTATTCTGTTTTGACTCTTGTTAGTAACCCACAACAGATGTTTATTCTTTTCATGGCTGCTGTGATGAAAATAGTGAAATAAAATATTAGAATTAGAAAACAAAATCAGTTTAAGCGTTTTAAGCTTTTAATTGTTGATACTACACAGAGTTCAGTTCCACAGTCTGGAGTCTCTGAAGCCTGATCTCCAGCTTTTGAGTCTGACTTTAGTCTCACTTGATCCGGCCTCAGCAGTTCTTTCTCCTTTAGTGTGTTCAAGAGGGTGCACCTTCAGATGACCAGCTTGTCTCAAAGTCGTCCCACACTGCTCAGAGCTGCAGCTTTTCTCTTCAGTCTGGAACATTTGGACATGTTTCAGACGGTTCCTCACAGACCTGAAATCCTTCCCCTCTTTCTCCACAGTCGTCTGGTTTGTCTCCTGTGTGTGCTCGATAGTGATTGGAGAGCTCCTGGGATGTTCTAAAAGCCTTTTCACACTGGTCACACTCATATAGTATCAACCAGGCGTGAGTTCTCATGTGTTTATTGAGATTGGATGATTGAGAGAAAGTTTTCCCACATTGGTCACACTCGTATGGTTTCTCTCCAGTGTGGACTCTCATGTGTGATTCTAGGTGGCCTGACTGTGCAAATGTCTTCTCACAGACCTCACAGCTGTATGGTTTTTCCCCTGTGTGGATTCTCATGTGCTGATTGAGATGACTAGACACTCTAAATTCCTTCCCACACTGCTTACATTCAAATGGTTTCTCTCCTGTGTGGATTCTCATATGCTGATGGAGGGCACTGGAGTCTCTAAATTCCATCCCACACTGGTCACATTCAAATGGTTTTTCTCCAGTGTGGACTCTCATATGTAATACTAGAGAGCTTGACCGTGAAAATGCCTTCTCACAAACTTCACAGCTGTATGGTCTTTCTCCTGTATGGGTTCTCATATGCTTATGGAGGTCACCAGAGTCTGTAAATTTCTTCCCACATTGGTCACATTCATATGGTTTTTCCCCTGTGTGGATTCTCATATGATGATGGAGGGCACTGGAGTCTCTAAATGTCTTCCCACACTGGTCACAGCTGTATGGTCTTTCTCCTGTGTGGATTCTCATATGCTTATGAAGGGCACCAGACTCTGTAAATTTCTTCCCACACTGGTCACATTCATATGGTTTCTCTCCCGTGTGGATTCTCATATGTGATACCAGGTGGCTTGACAGTGAAAATGTCTTTTCACAAACATCACAGCTGTACGGTTTTTCTCCTGTGTGAGTTCTGTAGTGGACTTTGAGCCTGGAAGCATTTGGCCACACCTTCCCACACTGGTCACACGTGAACCCCATTCTGTTGGTGGATCTTGTAGCTCTACATTAGAACAAAGGAAAGAAAGTGTCAAGTAAAATCACGTTTTTAACTGTTCAAATAAAGTAAGAATACAGAAAAACAGCTCTGCTGAGTCACTGCGCTGCTTCTGCTGTGCCCGAGAGCTTCAGTCTGCTTCAACTGCGCCATTACCGACACCTACTGGACACATTTGGTATTGCAGCTGAACCTGAATAATTCTATGTGAGTAAAAAAGCCACAGAAATGAATCAAAATATGATCAAAACATTACACCATTAAAAGTGTTATTGGAGGTGCCTTTTTACAACAAAACTATCATTTTTCCCCCTCTTTTCCAAAAGCAGTGTTCCTTGAGTACAATGGTTACCTATTATATCATTAGTAACACTTTTATAGTATAAAATTACCTTTTGTAAACATTTTGAATACCTGCAGATACCAACTTTATATACAAATAACCAAATTTTTTTCTCAAGTTAAATGAACAAGTTCACCTTTAATTGAAACAATAACGTTTTACTTGTAACCAGACACAAAATCGGCCAACATTTTCTCTTTGTCTGTCACCATCACGATGTTTAAATCAGACACTTTTGGCATGTGCAATAAACTCAACAAATCTTGTGCTTTTTCTTAAGCCTTAGCATTTCTGTTTCTAGTCTTTATGTCACTGAACCAGTTTTAATAAGCTGCTTGTGAGGAGTGGGACGCCCATGTTTAGGGTTAGGGATGATTGATGAGCTGCTCCTGATGCTCCTCAGCCTCGGCACCTCTACGCTGCGCTGGCTGTTATGGCCACAGGGCTCCAGTTCCTCCTGGAGCCATATACTGTATGTTTAAGTCCCTGCTGTTGATCCCTGTGTGTGTGCAAGCCTCCGTCTGCCAGGCCCCTGCTGTGATTGGTGGAATCAATTCCAGCTGGCACCTGGGTCCCTTCCAGCTGATTGGTGCATCGCACTAACACCTGGTCAGTCCTGAGGCTACAACTGCAGCTGCCACACCTATAAAAGCACTCACATCTGCTGTTCTGCTGTGAGCTGCAGGCCACTTGTTGTGTCTCTTGAGTAGCTTTTTGTCAAGACACTATGAGTCCTTTGTGACTTTGAGGAGACTGGTTTGTTCTTTTGTTTTGTGTTAATATAATATGTACAACCTAATTTTGTCACTTTTAGTTATACACTTGACTAGAGCCTCCAAGCTTGTTGGGCCGAGAACTCAAAAATCAACTCTTCTCCCCGCTCCATGTCGTGATGAATTCTCACTGGAAAACCAAACTTGAGGGCAAAATGCTTCAAGATCTTGTCCAACACTGTTTTCGTTGACTTGTTCTTTGTGGCGCTTGTGCAAAGTGTGTAAAATGATCCATTACCACCAGGATGTATTTGTAACACTAGTCGGCTAGATTGACTACGACCACGGTAAATAACGAGTAATTACAATTGTCAGCATCAGAAGGCTGGTCCTTAAAGGAGCCTGAGGTGTGAATAAAACACAGACAACCTGTATTAAAGATTTAAATCTAAATGTATTGATATATATTAAATAATAATTAAACAAACAGGACAACAACAGTAATAGACGGTATTTAGTATTTGTATTATTGTTTGAAGCAGCGGTTGAATCCAAAAGAATAATAGTTCCAGTAGTAAGTTCCAAAGGTTCACAGAAAAATATGTGCAGATGTATTTTTATCCTATAGAACTTTATCAGTATATAACTTTGTAAATGAATATCAAATAATAACAAAAAGGGAAGTGAAATTTACCAAATAACAAAAATACTTCATACTAAAAATCTACGTCAGTTCATTCATATTTAATGAGGAAATAACTAAATAAAATTATTACTATTATTATTATTAATATTATTATTAAGAGTTTGCTCAAAAAGTTGTCAAAATGGACAAAATCAATTTAAAAGGGAAAATAATAAATGAATGAATACATGAATCACCTAATGAGATTTAATGTTAGAATATCACTGATTCAACTTTGAATTACTGAGGTTCGTGTTTTTAATTTTAAGCCTCTACATCTTTGTTGTGATACTCGCTGTAAAAGGTGTTTTATTTACAATTTCAATGCAAATGCTGCTTGTGTATTTAGGTCAGTAGGAAGTGGACCAGGATCAAATCTGAAGCATATTTAGGCTCCAAACGACAGAATAAACAGAAACATGGCAGATCCGCAGCATGTCTGGGGCAGATAACTCGGTTCTGAACACGGATCTAAAACGGGTCCTGGGCGGATCCGCGGCGAGTGATTTTTACTCTCTGGGTAAGTGCTATTTAACAACACAAATACGAGCTAATCATAAAAATAATTCACCGATTGTTGCTCAACAACTCACCGATGAGGAAGAGACAGTTTGGAATCCGAAAAATGCTCCAGTTGACAGATTTGTCCCTGACGCAGAGCTGAACATGAACCACAGTGAGGAGGAGGAGGAGACAGGGAAGTGACCTCCGGGGCTTAAAGGAACATGAGGCACAAGTAGAACATCCAAACAAGTAGAACATCCAAACAAGCAGAACATCCAAACAAGTAGAACATCCAAACAAGTTGTTCAGTCAAATCGGTCTCTTATTAAGCCCAAAGTCCTTTCTGTGTCCCATTTCTTTGTGCAGCTCTGAAGACAGTGTCATGTTTTTCCTTTGGGAGGAGGAGCTGAGCTCTACCATTGACTCGCCTGTAGAGGGCGACATCCACATTCACAGAACGTTTGTTCCACTGGAGGATTTTTACATCTGGAACAGGACCGGACACAAAATAAACACTTTATTTCAAATTATTCAACAGGTTTTTAATAATCATAATGCAATAATAGATGAATTTGTTTAAAAGGTCCTATATTATGTAAAATTGACTCCTGTGAGCTTTAAGTCATGTTCTAATGCTGTTCCCTGGTCAAAAACAGACCTGGACTTGTGTTTTGCCTCCTGCATTATTACATTATCTACATCTGCAAAACTCAAAACGCCAAAACTAATTCTAATATTTTATTTCCCTTTTTTCATCACAGCAGCCATGAAAAGAATAAACATCTGTTGTGGGTCAAAACAGAATAAAAAGTGCAGTGAAGCAGGACTAAAAGCTCAAAGTAAAAAACAATATAATGAAGAATAACATGGACAAACTTCAGATAAAATCCAATAAAAAGAAAATCTTTACATATAATTTAAAGCTTTTAATTGTTGACAAAACACAGAGCTCAGTTCCACAGTCTGGAGTTTCTGAAGCCTGATCTCCAGCTTTCTGAGTCTGACTTTAGTCTCATTTGATCCAGCCTCAGCAGCTCTTTCTCCTTTAGTGTGTTCAAGAGGGTGCACCTTCAGATGAGCAGCTTGTCTCAGAGTCGCCCCACACTGGTCAGAGCTGCAGCTTTTCTCTTTAGTTTGGAACATTTGGACATGTTTCAGACGGTTCCTCACAGACCTGAAATCCTTCCCCTCTTTCTTCACAGTCGTCTGGTTCGTCTCCTGTGTGTGTTCGGTGGTGACTGGAGAGCTCCTGGGATGTTCTAAAAGCCTCTTCACACTGGTCACACTCATATAGTATCAACCAGGCGTGAGTTCTCTTGTGTTTATTGAGATTGGATGATACAGCGAACGCTTTCCCACACTGATCACACTCGTATGGCCTCTCTCCAGTGTGGACTCTTATATGTGCTTCTAGATTGCACGACCGTGAAAATGTTTTCTCACAAACATGACATCTGTATGGTTTTTCCCCTGTGTGGATTCTCATATGTTCATTTAGCGCTCCGAACTTTCTAAATTTCTTCCCACACTGTTCACATTCAAATGGTTTCTCTCCTGTGTGGACTCCCATGTGTTGATGGAGGTCACCAGATTGTCTGAATTCCTTCCCACACAGTTCACATTCAAATGGTTTCTCTCCAGTGTGGATTGTCATATGCGCGTCTAGGTGGCTTGACCGTAAAAATGCCTTATCACAGACATCACATCTGTATGATTTTTCCCCCGTGTGGATTATCATATGTTGATGGAGGTTACCAGAGTCTTTAAATCCCTTCCCACACTGGTCACAGCTGTATGGTCTTTCTCCTGTGTGAGTTCTGTAGTGTCTTTTCAGGTCAGAAGGTTTTGGCCACACCTTTCCACACTGGTCACATGTGAACCCCATTCTGTTGGTGGATCTTGTAGCTCTGCATTAGAACAAAGGAAAGAAAGTGTCAAGTAAAATCACTTTTTTAACTGTTCAAATAAAGTAACTGTAACTAAATACACATAAAATCACATAGTAAATCATATGTAAGAATGTTTCAGTGAGTGTGTTTACATGCACATCAGTATCCTGGTTATAAAAAAGTTTTTTGAATATCCTGGTTTTATCATGGTGCATGTTTACGCTGTATCCTGAATAAGCCAGTATGTATTGTAAAAAATATTGTGTATTTTTATCCTACCACAAAGGCAGATCTGGGAAGCTCGTCATCATGAGGAGAGGTGAGGGGTCACAGTCCACAGGTTCAGTTTCAGTCCATAGAAAAACAAACCTGACCTATGAAGGTCAAAGGAATAAGTTTGAAACAAAACATCTGCATCATGTTTAACAGACACATTTACATCTGCACAACAAATACACTTTATCAATATATAACTTTGTCAATTAATATGTTACCAATCTTATTTCAGTTTCATCCTGCAATCAACTGACTATTAAACACAGTCACCGATCAATAATTCATTCATGAATCAAAAAAGGAAGTGCACTTTTTCATTTATCAAAAATACTCAATTGTACTAAATAAATCAAATGACTTAAATAGATCAAAATACTCGAGCAGATGATCAGATGAATAATGAAACCTGCGCTACAAATCAAAAACAGTCGGAGCTTCGTCATTTTATTCATATTTAATGAGGAAAAACAAAACGGAAGTCGAGAGATTATTTAGTGTTCGCTCAAAAAGTTGTCAAAATGGACAAAATCATTTTAAAAGGGGAAAATAATAGATGGTTCTCGTAAATTAGACTGTTATGCATCTATCCTGGGTTTGAATGTAAACTTAAAAACGTTCAATATTTAATGAGTATAATGTGTGTTTGTAAAAGTCCCAGCGCGAGTAAACGGAGCTAATATCCACAGGGTTTTGAATGGGAGCGGAGCGAACAAACAAGACGCTAAGTGCGATTTAACAACACAAATACGAACTAATCATAAAAATAATTCACCGATTGTTGCTCAACAACTCACCGATGAGGAAGAGACAGTTTGGAATCCGAAAAATGCTCCAATTCACAGGTTTGTCCCTGACGCAGAGCTGAACATGAACCACAGTGGAGTTTTATTGACCAACAACAACTGGAGCATTACCGCCCCCCACTGGTGAGGAGTGTGAACTGAAACACCACTGACTAATCACTTAATTAAAAATAAACACATAAAATAATAATAATAATATTACTAATAACAGCTGTGATTTTTTCTTGTGTGTTGCTGTAATAGTTCTATTAAGTCAAATTTCATTTTAAATCCTTGATTCCTTCCTTCTTTATATTTCTTTCCTCTTTATATGTGTTACGATCCATAAATACATACACATTATAAACGATATTCATTATTCTCACTTTTTTACTTATTAGTAAAAACGTGTTTTCTTAAATAATCAAAAGATTAAATATTTATAAATATTCTATTGCTATTGTTTTGGAATGTTAATATATTTATAATTTATATTCAACATCAAGAGAAAGTGATTATTTTAAATAGAGTGAAATATTTTAATAAGTCGTTTTTGGGGATTTGTAGTTCCCACTTTTGTCCACATGAGGGCGCACAGGGGCCAAGCATAACTTCAGGAAATTGAAAAAAATGTAAAATAAATAAAATAAAATAAATGTCTTTTATATCTGTGTCTTTTTTTTTTTTTTTTTTAATTAAGTATTTTATTGGCTTTATTTATTTGTTGCTATTCTGTGGTTTTGCTTTTATTTAATTTTACTGGTTTTATTATTTTAAGACTGGTAAGATTCAATTTGAGTGTTTATTTTATCATTTTATTATTATTGTTGTTATTAATATGTATTTGTGCAGCACTTTGGAAACTGTTTATTTCTACAGGACATTTCACAAACAAATTCGATTGGATAAATATAATTGATTTAAGAAATACATTAAAATTAAATTAAATCTGTTAAACTGAACAGATATTTTAATTTAAATAATGGACAAAAAAATAACAATTGAACTGTTATGTTTAACACTTGTAGTCAAAGTCATCCCACACTGGTCAGAGCTGCAGCTTTTCTCTTCAGTCTGGAACATTTGGACATGGTTCAGACGGTTCCTCACAGGCCTGAAATCCTTCCCCTCTTTCTTCACAGTCGTCTGGTTTGTCTCCTGTGTGTGTTCGGTAGTGACTGGAGAGCTGCTGGGATGTTCTAAAAGCCTCTTCACACTGGTCACACTCATATACTATCAACCAGGAGTGAGTTCTCTTGTGTTTACTGAGATGAGATGATACAGAGAAAGTTTTTCCACACTGGTCACACTCGTATGGCCTCTCTCCAGTGTGGACTCTCATATGTGATACCAGTGTGCCTGACCGTGAAAAAGTCTTCTCACAAACATCACATTTGTATGGTTTTTCCCCTGTGTGGATTCTCATGTGTTCAATGAGTGCACCAGACTTTCTAAAGACTTTCCCACACTGTTCACATTCAAATGGTTTCTCTCCTGTGTGGACTCTCATGTGTTGATGGAGGGCACTGGAGTGTCTAAATACCTTCCCACACTGGTCACACTCGTATGGCGTCTCTCCAGTGTGGATTCTCATATGTGATACGAGGGTGCTTGACTGTGAAAATGTCTTCTCACAAACATCACAGCTGTATGGTTTTTCCCCTGTGTGGATTGTCATATGTCGATGGAGATGACAAGACTCTTTAAATTCCATCCCACACTGGTCACAGCTGTATGGTCTCTCTCCTGTGTGAGTTCTGTAGTGTCTTTTCAGGTCGGAAGGTTTTGGCCACACCTTCCCACACTGGTCACATGTGAATGCCATTATGTTGGTGGATCTTGTAGCTCTGCATTAGAACAAACACATAAAATCACACATAGTAAATCATATGTAAGAATGTTTCAGTGAGTGTGTTTACATGCACATCAGTATCACAATTATGAGAAATATTATAGTATTCGGGATACTGTAGCGTGTATACGCAGTATCCCGAATACTGCAACATAAAGTTGAGTGCTCATGCACTTGTCCAACTATGTTTTAGTTGACTTGTTCTTTGTGGCGCTTGTGCAAAGTGTGTAAAATGATCCATTACCGCCAGGATGTATTTGTAACACTAGTCGGCTAGATTGACTACGACCACGGTAAATAACGAGTAATTACAATTGTCAGCATCAGAAGGCTGGTCCTTAAAGGAGCCTGAGGTGTGAATAAAACACAGACAACCTGTATTAAAGATTTAAAGCTAAATGTATTGATATATATTAAATAATAATTAAACAAACAGGACAACAACAGTAATAGACGGTATTTAGTATTTTGTTATAGTAGCTCAAGAAGTTGTCAAAATGGACAAAATCACTTCTAAAAGGAAAAATAATGAATGAATGCTTCTGTTAAACTAGATTGTTATCTACAATTGGGTTTGAATGTAAACTTAAAAACGTTCAATATTTAATGAGTATAATGTGTGTTTGTAAAAGTCCCAGCGCGAGTAAACGGAGCTAATATCCACAGGGTTTTGAATGGGAGCGGAGCGAACAAACAAGACGCTAAGTGCGATTTAACAACACAAATACGAACTAAACACTAAAATTATTCACCGATTGTTGCTCAACAAACTCACCGATGAAGAAGAGACAGTTTGAAATCAGAAAAATGCTCCAATTCACAGGTTTGTCCCTGACGCAGAGCTGAACATGAACCACAGTGGAGTTTAATTGACCAACAACTACTGGAGCATTACCGCCCCCCACTGGTGAGGAGTGTGAACTGAAACACCACTGACTAATCACTAAATTAAATAAACACATAAAATAATTATAACACTACTAGTAACAACTGTGATCAAATAATAACTGAAGAAAAAAAATAATGAATCAAATCCTGTTCATCAAATTAATATCTCAAACAAATTTCAATAAAACTTTAAAACTAATATTTCTTGTGTGCTGCTGTAACAGTTCTAAGTCAAATTTCATTTTAAATCCTTGATTCCTTCCTTCATTACATTTCTTTTCTCTTTATATGTGTTACGATCCATAAATACATGCTCTACTGTATGTGTGGTTTTTTATTAGAATATAAACTAAATTCATTATACTCACTTTTTTACTTATTAGTAAAAAAGTGTCTTTTTTATCATAAAAAGATTAAATATTTATACTTAAATATTTATAACTATTTCTGTTACTATTGTTTTGAAATACTAAAATATTTAAAATTGATATTCAGCATCAAGACTAAGTGATTATTTTAAAGCGAGTGAAATATTTTAATAAGTCTAGTTTTTGTGGATGTGTAGGTCCCATTTTTGCCCACATGAGGGCGCACAAGGGCCAAGCATAACTTCAGGAAATTGAAAAAAAATAAAATAAAAAAAATAAATGTCTTTTATGTCTGTCTTTTTTATATATTTTATTGGCTTTATTTATTTGTTGCTATTCTGTGGTTTTGCTTTTATTTAATTTTACTGGTTTTATTATTTTAAGACTAGTATTATTCAATTTGAGCATTTATTTTATAATTTTATTATTATTGTTATTATTAATATGTATTTGTGCAGCACTTTGGAAACTGTTTGTAAAATGTGCTATATAAATAAACTGGAATGATAAATATAATCTATTTAACAAACACAATAAAATGTTATTAATTTATATTACACATGGTCTTTTCTCTTGTATGTTTATTATTTATTCATATAACTCTGTTAATCGCAAACTGAACAGATATTTTAATTTAAATAATGGACAAAAAAATAACAATTGAACTGTTATGTTTAACACTTGTAGTCAAAGCTTAGAAGTCATCCCACACTGGTCAGAGCTGCAGCTTTTCTCTTCAGTCTGGACCATTTGGACATGGTTCAGACGGTTCCTCACAGACCTGAAATCCTTCCCCTCTTTCTTCACAGTCGTCTGGTTTGTCTCCTGTGTGTGTTCGGTAGTGATTGGAGAGCTGCTGGGATGTTCTAAAAGCCTCTTCACACTGGTCACACTCATATAGTATCTGCCAGGAGTGAGTTCTCTTGTGTTTATTGAGATTGGATGATACAGCGAAAGCTTTCCCACACTGGTCACACTCGTATGGTTTCTCTCCAGTGTGGATTCTCATATGTGCTTCTAGATTGCCTGACCGTGAAAATGCCTTCTCACAAACATCACATTTGTACGGTTTTTCTCCTGTGTGGACTCTCATATGTTCATTGAGCGCACCAGATTGTCTAAATTTCTTCCCACACTGGTCACATTCAAATGGTTTCTCTCCTGTGTGGACTCCCATGTGTTGATGGAGGGCACTGGAGTGTCTAAATACCTTCCCACACTGGTCACACTCGTATGGCATCTCTCCAGTGTGCATTCTCATATGTGATACTAGGGAGCTTGACTGTGAAAATGTCTTCTCACAAACATCACAGCTGTATGGTTTTTCCCCTGTGTGGATTGTCATATGTCGATAGAGATGACAAGACTCTTTAAATTCCATCCCACACTGGTCACAGCTGTATGGTCTCTCTCCTGTGTGAGTTCTGTAGTGTCTTTTCAGGGCGGAAGGTTTTGGCCACACCTTCCCACACTGGTCACATGTGAACGCCATTCTGTTGGTGGATCTTGTAGCTCTGCATTAGAACAAAGGTAAGAAAGTGTCAAGTAAAATCACATTTTTAACTGTTCAAATAAAGTAACTGTAACTAAATCCACATAAAATCACACATAGTAAATCATATGTAAGAATGTTTCAGTGAAGGCCAATTTACGGTCCAGCGTCAAATCGTCTGTGTCAACCTACGTGCACCTCTGAAATTTTCTAACTATGTGTCAAAACCCCGCAGACAGCAGGGGAAGCGACGCAGACGATAAGAGCTGTGATTGGTCCTCTGTACCACTGCTCTGCAGACATTTCCTGTCGGTTTTTCTTTCTTTCAGTATATATTGGGAAATGTATTTAATGCAGCTTTGCACATATGTGTTTACGTTTTACAGAAACAAAACTTAAAACCACATGGCAACTTACATAAACAAAGCACTCATAAAACAGCTCACTCCTGGTACACGGTTCAGCTTCTGTCGGACTTAAAAAGGACACGACTCAGTGGAATATGCGTGTTCTTTCTGTGACAGAGTCACATTGTACTAATGGTGAGTCTGTTCTGTGCTTTTGTCGCGTTAGAGATGTTCATGTTAAACTTTTTAAGAGATTATACGTCTTCAGGTCATACACATGGACCGTGTATATGAATGGGCAGATATCGTCGCCCCCTAGCGTTTTGGCAGTGAATTACTTCGCGGTGCACAGACCTCGACGCAGATCCATAAATCAAAAACAACGGCGACAAGGCTACGGCGGCGGTGCGCGTTGAGTCGACGCAGAACTATACTTCAGCCTTGAGTGTGTTTATGTCTTTGGTCAGTTAAGATAATCATACATCATATTACAATGATTTAACACAGAAATTATGTGTATCACTAAAGTTATTCAGTTATTCTACAGACTGAAGGGTTTAAGCTGAAGTTTTAAAACTTATTTTGCCAAACCCCATTAACATATAGAACAGGAGACAAGACGACAGAACTATTTACAGAAAACAAGACAAAACTCAGGAAAGAATACACTTACTTCTTTTGGTACACACACACACAAAACAAACACACAATCCAATACACATCAATGTTCACATACACACACACACACAGACCCATGTGCATGTTAGTATTCACACCTATAATTATATAAATACACAGACACTTTGTATAATTGGGGGTTATAGTTCATCTGTAAGTTCAATGAGGTAAGCTCCATGATTTGTTGTATTTCTTTATAATAATTCTCTCTATAATTCTGGTCTTATAAATTTTTTCCACAGACGAACACCTGATGGAGACGCATTGATTTTTCGGCCGGTCCTCACATGAGCTTTGTGAAAGAGGCTCGACCTTCTCAGATTAAACTCACTCTCTCTGTGGGTCTGAATATCTCTTGATGTCCGACAATATACACGGATTTTTATCCTATGCACACAAAGTTTTCTTACTCCATATTTCTTCATCAGTATCCCGGTTATGATCGTTTTGTTTTTTTTAATATCCTGGTTTCGTCATGGTGCATGTATATGCTGTATCCTGAATAAGAAAAGTATCCTGAATAAGAAAAGTATCCCGGTTATGAGAAATTGGGATATTGTAGCTGGGAAATTACAATAGTAACTGGGATACTGTGTGGTTAAAGGAGCCCGAGGTGTGAATAAAACACAGACAACCTGTATTAAAGATTTAAAGCTAAATGTATTGATATATATTAAATAATAATTAAACAAACAGGACAACAACAGTAATAGACGGTATTTAGTATTTGTATTATTGTTTGAAGCAGCGGTTGAATCCAAAAGAATAATAGTTCCAGTAATAAGTTCAAAGGTTCACAGAAAGATGTGTGCAGATGTATTTTTATCCTACCACAAAGGCAGATCTGGGAAGCTCGTCATCATGAGGAGAGGTGAGGGTCACAGTCCACAGGTTCAGTTTCAGTCCATAGAAAAACAAACCTGACCTATGAAGGTCAAAGGAATAAGTTTGAAACAAAACATCTGCATCATGTTTAACAGACACATTTACATCTGCACAACAAATACACTTTATCAATATATAACTTTGTCAATTAATATGTTATCAATCTTATTTCAGTTTGATCCTGCAATCAACTGACTATTAAACACAGTCACCGATCAATAATTCATTCATGAATCAAAAAAGGAAGTGCACTTTTTCATTTATCAAAAATACTCAATTGTACTCAATAAATCAAATGACTTAAATAGATCAAAATACTCGAGCAGATGATCAGATGAATAATTAAAGCTGCGCTACAAATCAAAAACAGTCGGAGCTTCGTCATTTTATTCATATTTAATGAGGAAAAACAAAATGGAAGTCGAGAGATTATTTAGTGTTCGCTCAAAAAGTTGTCAAAATGGACAAAATCAATTCAAAAGGGAAAATAATGAATGACTAAATGCATGGATGCTTCTGTTAAACTAGATTGTTATCTACAATTGGGCTTGACTGTAAACTTAAAAACGTTCATATTTCCTGAGTATAATGTGTGTTTGTAAAAGTCCCAGCGCGAGTAAACGGAGCTAATATCCACAGGGTTTTGAATGGGAGCGGAGCGAACAAACAAGACGCTAAGTGCGATTTAACAACACAAATACGAACTAATCATAAAAATAATTCACCGATTGTTGCTCAACAAACTCACCGATGAGGAAGAGACAGTTTGGAATCCGAAAAATGCTCCAATTCACAGGTTTGTCCCTGACGCAGAGCTGAACATGAACCACAGTGGAGTTTTATTGACCAACAACAACTGGAGCATTACCGCCCCCCACTGGTGAGGAGTGTGAACTGAAACACCACTGACTAATCACTAAATTAAAAATAAGCGCATAAAATAATAATAATAATCAATCAAATCCTGTTAATAAAATTAATATCCCAAACAAACTTCAATAAAACTTTAAAGCTACTATTTCTTGTGTGTTGCTGTAATAGTTCTATTAAGTCAAATTTAATTTTAAATCCTTGATTCCTTCCTTCTTTATATTTCTTTCCTCTTTATATGTGTTACGATCCATAAATACATACACATTATAAACGATATTCATTATACTCACTTTTTTACTTATTAGTAAAAACGTGTTTTCTTAAATAATCAAAAGATTAAATATTTATAAATATTCTATTGCTATTGTTTTGGAATGTTAATATATTTATAATTTATATTCAACATCAAGAGTAAGTGATTATTTTAAATAGAGTGAAATATTTTAATAAGTCGTCTTTGTGGATGTGTAGGTCCCATTTTTGTCCACATGAGGGCGCACAAGGGCCAAGCATAACTTCAGGAAATTGAAAAAATTAAAAATAAATAAAATAAATGTCTTTTATGCCTGTCTTTTTAAAAATATTTTATTGGCTTTATTTATTTGTTGCTATTCTGTGGTTTTGCTTTTATTTAATTTTACTGGTTTTATTATTTTAAGACTGGTAAGATTCAATTTGAGTGTTTATTTTATCATTTTATTATTATTGTTGTTATTAATATGTATTTGTGCAGCACTTTGGAAACTGTTTATTTCTACAGCACATTTCACAAACAAATTCGATTGGATAAATATAATTGATTTGAGAAATACATTAAAATTTAATTAAATCTGTTAAACTGACCAGATATTTAAATTTAAATAATGGACAAAAAAATAACAATTGAACTGTTATGTTTAACACTCCCTCTTGTAGTCAAAGTCATCCCACACTGGTCAGAGTTGCAGCTTTTCTCTTCACTCTGGAACATTTGGATATGGTTCAGACGGTTCCTTCACAGACCTGAAATCCTTCCCCTCTTTCTTCACAGTCGTCTGGTTTGTCTCCTGTGTGTGTTCTGTAGTGACTGGAGAGCTGCTGGGATGTTCTAAAAGCCTCTTCACACTGGTCACACTCATATACTATCAACCAGGAGTGAGTTCTCTTGTGTTTACTGAGACTGGATGATACAGAGAAAGTTTTCCCACACTGGTCACACTCGTATGGCCTCTCTCCAGTGTGGACTCTCATATGTGATACCAGTGTGCCTGACCGTGAAAATGTCTTCTCACAAACATCACATTTGTATGGTTTTTCTCCTGTGTGGATTCTCATATGTTCACTGAGTGCACCAGACTTTCTAAAGACTTTACCACACTGTTCACATTCAAATGGTTTCTCTCCTGTGTGGACTCTTATGTGTTGATGGAGGGCACTAGAGTGTCTAAATGCCTTCCCACACTGGTCACACTCATATGGCATCTCTCCAGTGTGCATTCTCATATGTGATACTAGGGAGCTTGACTGTGAAAATGTCTTCTCACAAACATCACAGCTGTATGGTTTTTCCCCTGTGTGGATTGTCATATGTTGATGGAGATGACAAGACTCTTTAAATTCCATCCCACATCGGTCACAGCTGTATGGTCTCTCTCCTGTGTGAGTTCTGTAGTGTCTTTTCAGGTCGGAAGGTTTTGGCCACACCTTCCCACACTGGTCGCATGTGAACCCCATTCTGTTGGTGGATCTTGTAGCTCTGCATTAAAACAAAAGAAAGAAAGTGTCAAGTAAAATCATTTTTTTAACTGTTCAAATAAAGTAACTGTAACTAAATACACATAAAATCACACATAGTAAATCATATGTAAGAATGTTTCAGTGAGTGTGTTTACATGCACATCAGTATCACAGTTATGAGAAATATTATAGTAACCGGGATACTGTGGCGTGTATGCGCAGTATCCCGAATACTGCAACATAAAGTTGAGTGCTCATGCACTTGTCCAACTATGTTTTAGTTGACTTGTTCTTTGTGGCGCTTGTGCAAAGTGTGTAAAATGATCCATTACCGCCAGGATGTATTTGTAACACTAGTCGGCTAGATTGACTACGACCACAGTAAATAACGAGTAATTACAATTGTCAGCATCAGAAGGCTGGTCCTTAAAGGAGCCTGAGGTGTGAATAAAACACAGACAACCTGTATTAAAGATTTAAAGCTAAATGTATTAATATATATTAAATAATAATTAAACAAACAGGACAACAACAGTAATAGACGGTATTTAGTATTTTGTTATAGTAGCTCAAGAAGTTGTCAAAATGGACAAAATCACTTCTAAAAGGAAAAATAATGAATGAATGCTTCTGTTAAACTAGATTGTTATCTACAATTGGGTTTGAATGTAAACTTAAAAACGTTCATATTTCATGAGTATAATGTGTGTTTGTAAAAGTCCCAGCGCGAGTAAACGGAGCTAATATCCACAGGGTTTTGAATGGGAGCGGAGCGAACAAACAAGACGCTAAGTGCGATTTAACAACACAAATACGAACTAATCATAAAAATAATTCACCGATTGTTGCTCAACAAACTCACCGATGAGGAAGAGACAGTTTGGAATCCGAAAAATGCTCCAATTCACAGGTTTGTCCCTGACGCAGAGCTGAACATGAACCACAGTGGAGTTTTATTGACCAACAACAACTGGAGCATTACCGCCCCCCACTGGTGAGGAGTGTGAACTGAAACACCACTGACTAATAACACGCCGATTGACACGGAGTGAATGAATAAAAGTCTGTAAAGCGTCTCTGTGACAAATGTCTGTGAAAAGTGCTACATAAATAAAATAAAAAAACTGACATACTTACTGTCGATATTCTATACTCTATACGTTTAGGCCAGTGCAGTACACAGTCCAGTACACAGTCCAGTACACAGTACACATTACAGTACAGTACACAGTCCAGTACACAGTCCAGTACACAGTACACATTACAGTCCAGTACACAGTCCAGTACACAGTCCAGTACACAGTACACATTACAGTACACATACACAGTCCAGTACACAGTACACATTACAGTACAGTACACATTACAGTACAGTACACATTACAGTACACAGTACAGTACACAGAACACATTACAGTACAGTACAGTACAGTACAGTACAGTACACAGTACAGTACAGTACAGTACAGTACAGTACACAGTACACAGTACACAGTACAGTACAGTACACAGTACAGTACAGTACAGTAGCCAATTATATCAGGTCTTAAACTAAGTTGTTCTAAATATTTTCAGCTACTTCACCTTAAGTTCATGTTCATGTTAATAAGACAAAGATGTTCAGTGAAAACATACTACTATATGGCAATGTTGATGTGAGCATCTTGTAAAGCATCAACCATTCAGATATAATCATTTTAAACATTTCTGTACACACATTTGATAATTCTGTTGATGAACTGACCGCTCGCATTGGCCCACTAGATCGAGCCGTTATAATGACCCAAATGAAAAACAGACAAAAATCTCAGAGACGTAATTTTATTAACGTTTGATGTCAGTGGATAATTTTGACATTATCACATTCAGACTTGACAAAGCTTTCTGGGTGAATAAACAACAGTGACGGTCAAACAAAGTGCTGGTGCAGCCTGACGTAACAAACGTAACTGGCTAGCTAACTTGCGGCTACGTAATATAATGTTATTTATTATGAGAGCAAATTAAACAATTAAGATCTAAATACAAATTATATGTTATTCTAAATGGTGTCAGCAAGACACAAAGCATGCAAAAGTCTACAAGAGCCAGCCGACTAAAAAAACGGTTTTAATCGTACACTGTACAGAGCTCCAGTAGGACCTGTAATGTTAGCATCTCTTGCTCCCCGGCTGCGCGCGCATCTCTGAATGTTTGTGAACAAGGGGTAATGGATGTAACTAGATAATTATAAACTCCTTTAAATCATAACTGCACAGACACAAAGAAACATATTTTAGTTTACATAACGGACAGAAAAATAACAATTGAACTGTTACGTTTAACACACCCTCTGGCGGTCAAAGTTAGAATTACAAGTGTTTTTGTGGTTTTGTACAGTTCATGTTTTAAGCCACATGAGGGCGCCAAACTGCGCTTCTCTGCACTAAACACAACTTTCATCAAAAATCAGTCATGTTTTACTAACTCTTTTACATTTTAAACTATAAAAGTGTAAAAATGCAGTTCAGTTGTTCAAAATTAATTCAATTACAAATTAAAATTAAATGATGAAATAATGTAAACCATCGATGCTCCAACTTGTGTGATGTAAACAAGCAAAAATATAGAAAAGTAAGCTTATTTTGACCAGGATCCATTTGTGAATGTCAATGTTGTTTTTTAACCATCAACTTAAAGATGCACTATGTAACTTTTTGTTTGGAGGTCCCTCGGCTGCTTGTTGCTATGGAGATGTCATTGCTCAGTCTGGAATGTTTCATACTGTGAAACATTCCAGACAAAGCAATTTACAAAATTCACTTTTACACTTTACATATACTACACATTTTACTGAAACACAGTAAAGATCATATTTAAGTTTTTTTTTCCAAGTTTCTCAATTTTTGAAGTTTCAAATTTGACTTCCTGGGTAGAAATCATGACATCTTACACGGGAATTTCATAACTGTTACTTACAACCATGTCATACACTGGACCAAAACTCCTCGAATGTCCACAGAAATTATGATTTAACAAATAAAACAAAGAAATGCCTTTAGTTTGTTGAAATCCTCTTTAAACACTTGGAAAAATGTGTTTCTTGTGTAAATTGTGTCAAGCTTTTAGAGTTTGAGTTCTCCCCAGTGTGATGGCATCATTATGGTTCTCTCTAAAAAACAACTATCCACTTTTTTTCAACATTTTCAACATGTTTTCAACTTTTCTTTGCAAACTGCTTCTTGACTGATAAAATCATTTATATTTACAACAGGTATTATCCCAAAAATCCATTGAAAAATATGTACTGTATTTTACGGGCTATTCGTCGCTCTGGATTATAAGTCGCTCTGTCATTAAATGGTCTATTTTTTAACTTTTTTCACAAATAAACTGCGTGGGACTTTAAAGGAAACCCAACAGTGTGATGGGTGAGTGGTTTTGTTTGTTTGTTCGTTCACAGTGACTCTGGGCTTTGTTCAGTTGTGGCGTGTAGGGAGGGTGTGTCTGGGACCAGCGGATTGTCGGCGTGTTCACAGTGACTCAGTTGTTCAGTCGTGTCTAGAAGTGGCACATTGCACTCACTTTTTCGGTTTGTTCCTCCGTTCCGTTCCTCGTCGGCGTGGAGTGATGAGTGTGTCTGTGGGTGTTTTTCGCTGTGCGGTCGCTGTCTGCTCTGTGTGTTTGTGTGCGCAGCAGGTGGTGCAGCTTTGTAGTTTACTGAAGTCGTGCTGAGACACCCGAGTGGATTCATGTATGGGGCGCTCTGGATTTTGGGGCGCACAATCGTTTTTTGATGGGATTAGAGGCTTAAGAGTGCGCCTAATAGCCCGGAAAATACGATACTCTTAGTGTGAACAGGCTCGCCTTGCCACAAATCTCCAGAACTTGACCTGATGGATTCACCCGTTTGTTTCCACGGAGATGGATCAGTTTAATGCCATACTGGACCATTACAGGCAAAGCAATGACATCTCCATGGCAGACCTTTCATCAGAAAAGTGACACAGTGTAACTTTAAATGGAAGTCAACATAAATGACTGACAGTTCCATAAACACGTTGGCATGAGCTCCGTTTCTTTGTGACCACAGCCGAGTCAGGCTTCCCTCAGTGGCCACAGACACACTCCTATTGGCCCATATTTCCTTGATCTTAGTCCTGTCTATTTTTAACTGGAGTTTGGTCGGAGGACAGATGCATACAGAATTCACGTCTGTCAAAAAGTCTTCAGGTTTTGCGTAAATGAAACCGAAATGGCCAGTCGAAGCAGGTCGAGCATCCTGGAACTTTTCTTTCCTGTTCACCTCACAGCAAGAGGAGGAATAATAAATCTAAATATTTTCTAATCTAAATAATAAATAATAAATCTGAATGACCCATTTTCCAAAATATCAGACAACAGACATTTAACTCCAATTACATTATTTCACATTTTCAACACTCCCTTTACTGTCACAACAACAAACTAACTGTGCTTCAATTATTGATCACTGCACTTCTGGATGTATTTTATAACTATGCTTTTTGTGTTATTGGAACATACTGGTAAAATTGGTTTTCCACACATTTAATTACTTCAGTTTAACTAGACTAAACTACTTTACTGAATCAACAAACTGTATATGAACTGTACAAGGATTAACTTCTTGGGTTCGTTGGTTCAATGCAGTAAAGTGTTTTTATCTTGTTGACATGTTTCGGCTGCTGCTGCAAGACATCTTCAGAACTGTCCTCGGTGTTGGTGGTGACGTGTCGTATATCAGATGTTGTTACTTCCTGTGGGCGTGGTCAGACCTGATGGACCTGGCGTTTCGCTTAGACTGACCACGCCCACCGTCGCCCGATGTTCTCTAGAGGAGGGTGTCCCAGGTGTGTGAAAGGAGGAACGCGCCGTCATCACTGTTAATACTGTCCGTGCCTCGTTTCCTGATTTCAATGAACTCCTTGATCCAGCGTTTGAACTTGTTTTCTGATCCAATGACCCGAGCCCCGTCCTGATCCATAATGTGGTTGTTTCTTTTACAGTGTCTGATATGGCGGACACGTCACCACCAACACCGGGGACAGTTCTGAAGATGGCTTGCAGCTAGCAGCCGAAACATGTCAACAAGGTAAATAAACTTTACTGCACTGTCTTTAAAAAGAAGTTCAAGTATATAAGACGACAAAATGAACATCACTGGCTTAGTACAAGGATTAAATGTAAAAGAGCTCCCTCTTTTAATACTCAATGTCATTCAGAGATGGCTTCAAAGCTTCTCTCAAATCTGATGAACAATTTTTAGTGCTTCACCTGTTGATGTTAAAAAAAGCTCGCACTGTTTCTCAGCCCCTTGTGTGTGTTTAGGCGTTTCATTTCTAAAGTTCCCTGATGCATAAGTGAGATATAAGAAAAGACAAGCAAGAACAAATGGTCTAAAATACTGATTTTGCTTTCTAATTCTAATATTTTACTTCACTTTTTTCATCACAGCAGCCATGAAAAGAATAAATATCTGTTGTGGGTTGCTAACAAGAGTCAAAACAGAATAAAAAATACAAAGTGCAATTTCAGGTCTGTCTCTGATTAGGGAAGTGCAGTGAAGCAGGACTAAAAATTCAAAGTGAAAAACAATATAATGAAGAATAAGATGGACAAACTTCAGCTATATATATCATTCAGCTTTTAATTGTTGACACTACACAGAGCTCAGTTCCACAGTCTGGAGTCTTTGAAGTCTGATCTCCAGCTTTTTGAGTCTGACTTTAGGCTCACTTGATCCGGCCTCAGCAGCTCTTTCTCCTTTAGTGTGTTCAAGAGGGTGCACCTTCAGATGACCAGCTTGTCTCAAAGTCATCCCACACTGGTCAAATGGTGGCAAAAGGTTCTCTTCACTCTGGAACATTTGGACATGTTTCAGACGGTTCCTCACAGACCTGAAATCCTTCCCCTCTTTCTTCACAGTCGTCTGATTTGTCTCCTGTGTGTGTTCGGTAGTGACTGGAGAGCTCCTGGGATGTTCTAAAGCATTTTCACACTGGTCACACTCATATAGTATCTTCCAGGAGTGAGTTTTCATATGTGTATTAAGATTGGATGATTGAGAGAATGTTTTCCCACACTGGTCACACTCGTATGGTTTCTCTCCTGTGTGGATTCTCATATGATCATTGAGTGCACCAGAATTTCTAAATCCTTTCCCACACTGGTCACAGCTGTATGGTCTTTCTCCTGTGTGAGTTCTGTAGTGTCTTTTCTGGTCCGAAGATTTTAGGAACACCTTTCCACATTGGTCACATTCGAATGGCCTCTCTCCTGTGTGGAGTCTCACATGTGATATTAGGTTGGCTAACTGTGCAAATGTCTTCTCACACTGGTCACAGCTGTACGGTCTTTCTCCTGTGTGAGTTCTGTAGTGGACTTTAAGTTTGGAAGGACTTGGACACACCTTTCCACACTGGTCACATGTGAAGGTCATTCTGTTGGTGGATCTTGTAGCTCTGCGTTAGAACAAAGGAAAGAAAGTGTCAAGTAAAATCACTTTTTATAACTGTTCAAATAAAGTAACTCTCACTAAATACACATAAAATCACACATAGTAAATCATATGTGAGAATGTTTCAGTGGATGGTGGATTTTAAATTGGGTTTATTTAGGCAACATTTATTGTTATTCTGCCTCTTTACATCATATTACAGACAGTAGATCGAACTAATGACATTTTTGCATCACATTGTAGCTACTAGTGATGGGTATTCCAGTTCTTTTAAGAGAACAGGCTCTTTTGGCTCGGCTCACTAAAAGCAGCTGGCTCTTTCGGCTCCCAAGCAGCTCTTCAGATTTTGTTGCAAGCAGGTCTAAAGCAGAACTGAACCAGGACTGACTGTTGGGACTCGGTCTCTATCTCTCTCCGTCTCTCGAGCCCAAGATTGTCTGTTGTTCAGCATAAAATAAATAAAACAGGACTAAACATGTACGTTTTTTCTCTCCTATGCACATGCAGATTTCTGAAAGTTTCGTTTTGAGCCGCTGCCGCTGTCAAACTCCCACGAGTCTGCACGTGACGTAAAGAGAAAAAAAATGAGAGAAAGAGAAAACACGGCTCTGAATAAGGAGCAGGCTCCTGTCATTCGGGTCAAAGAGCCGACTCCAAGAGCCGCTTCGTTCACGACCGACCCACCACTACTAGCTAGTAAATAAACTATCGCTATTAGCCTTTAGCCGTAAATGCTGCGCGCCGCGGTAATTCATTATATGTGTAAATGATGATCATTCACACCTCTATTCAAAGCTCATTTACATCAATGCAGGTCCAGTAACAAATATACGAACAATATAATCACTTTAAAATAGACCCATAGAAAACAGACTGTTTATGTGTGAGAGACACCGCAGATAATCACTATCAATAACAAATAACCAAAACTAGCTTCAAAACAGACATATTTTCAACACTCAGCCTCACACAGGCTCCTCTCACATCACAAGTCTGAACTAATAAATGTCCTTTTAATCCAGACTCAAATCAATTGTTCGTAAAAAGAAAATAATCTCAGTGTTTGGATCTGTGTCTGCGAGTGTAAACAAACACACGTGACTCTGTGGTGTGTTCAGGGACAGTACGACACACACACACAAATGACTCCACAGATAAATACTGATGTGGAGCCACATATTTGGACATTTATCTGTCTGTAAATTGGATTAAATGAAAGAATGTAGAGAGTCTAAGATTTATAACGACGTATAACATGCACACGTGAAATATCGGCCCATATCAGCAAGTATATCAGCCGATAGCCGATACGTCTCCAGGTGCCCATATTGGCCGATAATATCGGCCATCGGTCAGGCTCTAATTAACAGATCGTTTATAACAACAGAATAACTTCAAAATACAACTTGGCTTCATAAAACATATTTCTAGACTTGTATAAACATCCTGTATTGTAAATCACGTGGTGCTTGTGCATTTAACCCACCTGTAAACACAGAAAAACACAGAAGAACAGCTCTGCTTCTGCTGCGCCCGAGAGCTTCAGGCTGCCTCAACTGGGTGATTACCGACACCTACTGGACACATTTGGTGTTGCAGCTGAATCTGAATAATTCTATGTGAGTAAAAGAGCCACAGAAATGAATCAAAATATAATCAAAACATTACAACATTAAAAGTGAGGGGTGCCTTTTTATTACGAATATTTCCAGGGTGCCACACCCTCCTCTGCTTAATGAAAGAAAAAAAAAAGTGTAACTATTTTTTCCCCACTCTTATACAAAAGCAGTGTCCCCTGTGTAGCAGCTCTGAAGACAGTGTCATGTTTTCAATGAGGAAAAGCAAAATGGAAGCCTATAGCTCAAACATGTCAAACTCCGGCCTGGGGCCAAATTCGGTCCACAATATAATTATATTTGGCCAGCAAGATCATATCAAATATGTATTAGAGTTGCCCGCCAGCTACAGATAGGCTATAGAAACATTATTTATTTAAAATGTTGTTATTATTTTATATTCTGCTTGTTCCAGATTCATTGTTTAAGCAAAACTATTATTAAACATTTATTTTAATAAGAAAAGGTTTAACATCTCGAAAGAAGAGAAAACAGATGTATGCAGATGCAAATGCAGATGTTGTTGGCATTTTTCAAGAAATATTTAGTTTGGCCCACGACTTAAATCCCAGTTCTTAATTTTGGCATCTGTGAATTTGAGTTTGACGCCCCAGCTGTAGCTTATTTAGCGTTCGCTCAAAAAGTTGCAAAATGGACAAAATCAATGAAAAAGGGAAAATAATGAATTAATGAATGTTTCTAGTAAACTACATTGTTATCTACAATTCGGCTTGACTGTAAAATTAAAAACGTTCATATTTAATGAGTATAATCGGTGTTTAAATAACTCCCAGCGCCGAGTAAACGGAGCTAATATCCACAGGGGTTTTGAATGGGAGCGGAGCGAACAAACAAGACGCTAAGTGCTATTTAGCAACACAAATACGAGCTAAACATAAAAATAATTCACCGATTGTTGCTCAACAACTCACCGATGAGGAAGAGACAGTTTGAAATCTGAAAAATCCTCCAGTTGACAGATTTGTCCCTGACGCAGAGCTGAACATGAACCACAGTGAGGAGGAGGAGGAGACAGGGAAGTGACCTCCGGGGCTTAAAGGAACATGAGGCACAAGTAAAACATCCAAACAAGTAGAACATCCAAACAAGTAGAACATCCAAACAAGTAGAACATCCAAACAAGCAGAACATCCAAACAAGCAGAACATCCAAACAAGTAGAACATCCAAACAAGTAGAACATCCAAACAAGTAGAACATCCAAACAAGCAGAACATCCAAACAAGCAGAACATCCAAACAAGCAGAACATCCAAACAAGTAGAACATCCAAACAAGTAGAACATCCAAACAAGGGCTTTAGGAAGTGCGCCGCACACATTCTCTACATCTTTTTACATCGTTGTTCAGTAAAATCGGTCTCTTATTAAGCCCAAAGTCCTTTCTGTGTCCCATTTCTTTGTGCAGCTCTGAAGACAGTGTCATGTTTTTCCTTTGGGAGGAGGAGCTGAGCTCTACCATTGACTCGCCTGTAGAGGGCGACATCCACATTCACAGAACGTTTGTTCCACTGGAGGATTTTTACATCTGGAACAGGACCGTAAATACACACGCAAATAAACACTTTATTTTTTTCAATTATTCAACAGGTTTTTAATAATCATAATGCAACGATAGATTAATACATTTAAAAAGGTCAGATATTATGTAAAATAGACTCCTCCATCGATTTTCCTCCGTCCTCCAGGGGGACCCCGAGTCGTTCCCAGGCCAGCTGAGAGACATAGTCCCTCCAGCGTGTCCTGGCTCTTCCCCGGCGTGCCTCCTCCCACTGGGACATGCCCGAAACACCTCCCGAGGGAGACACCCAGGAGGCATCCGGAACAGATGCCCGAACCACCTCAACTGGCTCCTCTCGACGTGGAGGAGCAGCGACTCTACTCTGAGCTCCTCCCATGTGAGACACGAGAAACAGACTCCTGTGAGCTTTAAGTCACCTGGAATCGTGTTTTGTCTCCTGCATTATTACATTCTCTACATCTGCAAAGCTCAAAACGCTAAACCAGATTTTATTTTCCAATTCTAATATTTTTCTTCACACTTTTCATCACATGATCCATGAAAAGAATAAACATCTGTTGTGGGTTGCTAAAAGACAAAATACAAATTCAGATCTGTATCTCTGATTAGGGAAATGCAGTGAAGCAGGACTAAAAGCTAAAAGTGAAAAACAATAAAATGAAGACAACATGGACAAACTTCAGATAAAATCTCTTTCTAATAAAAGAATCTTTATATATCATTTAAAGCCTTTAATTGTTGACAAAACACAGAGCTCAGTTCCACAGTCTGGAGTCTCTGAAGCCTGATCTCCAGCTTTTTGAGTCTGACTTTAGTCTCACTTGATTCGGCCTCAGCAGCTCTTTCTCCTTTAGTGTGTTCAAGAGGGTGCACCTTCAGATGAACAGCTTGTCTCTGAGAGTCGTCCCACACTGGTCAAAGCTGCAGCTTTTCTCTTCAGTCTGGAACATTTGGACATGTTTCAGACGGTTCCACACAGACCTGAAATCCTTCCCCTCTTTCTCCACAGTCGTCTGGTTTGTCTCCTGTGTGTGTTCGGTAGTGACTGGAGAGCTCCTGGGATGTTCTAAAAGCCTCTTCACACTGGTCACACTCATATAGTATCAACCAGGAGTGAGTTTTCATATGTGTATTGAGATGGGATGATTGAGAGAAAAGTTCTCTCACACTGGTCACACTCATATGGTTTCTCTCCTGTGTGGATTCTCATATGATCACTGAGTGCATTAGAGTGTCTAAATCTCTTCCCACACTGGTCACAGCTGTATGGTCTTTCTCCTGTGTGAGTTCTGTAGTGTCTTTTCAGGTCCGAAGATTTTAGCCACACCTTTCCACACTGGTCACATTCGTATGGCCTCTCTCCTGTGTGGAGTCTCACATGTGATACTAGGTTGGCTAACTGTGAAAATGTCTTCTCACACTGGTCACAGCTGTACGGTCTTTCTCCTGTGTGAGTTCTGTAGTGGACTTTAAGTTTGGAAGGACTTGGCCACACCTTTCCACACTGGTCACATGTGAACCCCATTCTGTTGGTGGATCTTGTAGCTCTGCATTAGAACAAAGAAAATAAAGTGTCAAGTAAAATCATTTTTTTAACTGTTCAAATAAAGTAACTGTTAACTAAATACACATAAAATCACACACAGTAAATCATATGTGAGAATGTTTCAATGTTTTATGAGCAAATTCCATTTGACTGAATGAATCAACTAAGTTTGTATTTTATTTTAAAGTCACACTTTTTCTGTTTGTAGCAAAAAAAAAATCAAATTAAGGAAACAAACAGAGACATTGAACAACTTTGTTGCTCTAATTCTAATCCACATGTTGAGCAGATCTGATAAATGTGACACACGTGAAGACAGAAGCCAGGGCTTTGGTGAAACAGAACAACTTTAATTGTGTAAGGACAGAAAAACAGCTCTGCTGAGTCATGGGGTCTGACCGTTAACAGTTTACACTGAACTGTGCTGCTTCTGCTCTATGACTCTGCACTAATACTTTAGTCTTTACACACTTATTTCCTATATTATCTGTTACAGGTTTTGTACAAAAGAAAAACAAGTTAATATAAATAACCCTGAACTTGACCAAACACAAACGTATTTTCATGTGCTGCTCTAATCAGTCTCTTGTATCAGCAGAACTTGAAATGACAGATTCTAGTCGTACACAGCAGTAAACTTCACATTAATAAACTAAAACACGGTTTATAAACATTTACAGACAAACACTGGAAGAGCTACCGCCGTTAGCAGGTAACGGCAGGTAACAGATCGTTTATAACAACAGAATAACTTCAAAATACAACTTGGCTTCATAAAACATATTTCTAGACTTGTATAAACATCCTGTGTTGTAAATCACGTGGTGCTTGTGCATTTAACCCACCTGTAAACACAGAAGAACAGCTCAACATTAAGTGTTAGTGGGGGGTGCCTTTCTATTACGAATATTTCCAGGGTGCCACACCCTCCTCTGCTTCATTAAAAAAAATAAAAATAAAAAAAAAATAACAATTTTTTTCCCAGTCTTATACAAAAGCAGTGTCCCCTGTGTAGCAGCTCTGAAGACAGTGTCATGTTTTCAATGAGGAAAAGCAAAATGGAAGCCTATAGCTCAAACATGTCAAACTCCGGCCCGGGGGCCAAATTCGGCCCACAATATAATTATATTTGGCCAGCGAGATCATATCAAATATGTATTAGAGCTGCCCGCCAGCTACAGATAGGCTATAGAAACATTATTTATTTAAAATGTTGTTATTATTTTATATTCTGCTTGTTCCAGATTCAGTGTTGAAGAAAAACTATTATTAAACATTTATTTTAATAAGAAAAGGTTTAACATCTCGAAAGAAGAGAAAACAGATGTATGCAGATGCAAATGCAGATGTTGACATTTTTCAAGAAATATTTAGTTTGGCCCACGACTTAAATCCCAGTTCTTAATTTTGGTCTCTATGAATTTGAGTTTGACGCCCCAGCTGTAGCTTATTTAGCCTTCGCTCAAAAAATTGCAAAATGGACAAAATCTATGAAAAAGGGAAAATAATGAATGAATGAATGTTTCTAGTAAACTACATTGTTATCTACAATTCGGCTTGACTGTAAACTTAAAAACGTTCATATTTAATGAGTATAATCGGTGTTTAAATAACTCCCAGCCCGAGTAAACGGAGCTAATATCCACAGGGGTTTTGAATGGGAGCGGAGCTAACAAACAAGACGCTAAGTGCGATTTAGCAACACAAATACGAGCTAAACATAAAAATAATTCACCGTTTGCTGCTCAACAAACTCACCGATGAGGAAGAGACAGTTTGAAATCTGAAAAATGCTCCAGTTGACAGATTTGTCCCTGACGCAGAGCTGAACATGAACCACAGTGAGGAGGAGGAGGAGACAGGGAAGTGACCTCCGGGGCTTAAAGGAACATGAGGCACAAGTAGAACATCCAAACAAGTAGAACATCCAAACAAGTAGAACATCCAAACAAGTAGAACATCCAAACAAGGAACATCCAAATAAGTAGAAGATCAATAGAACATCCAACAAGCAGAACATCCAAACAAGTAGAACATCCAAACAAGCAAACATCCAAACAAGAACATCCAAACAGCAGAACATCCAAACAAGTAGAACATCCAAACAAGGGCTTTAGGAAGTGCGCCGCACACATTCTCTACATCTTTTTACATCGTTGTTCAGTCAAAATCGGTCTCTTATTAAGCCCAAAGTCCTTTCTGTGTCCCATTTCTTTGTGCAGCTCTGAAGACAGTGTCATTTTTTCCTTTGGGAGGAGGAGCTGAGCTCTACCATTGACTCGCCTGTAGAGGGCGACATCCACATTCACAGAACGTTTGTTCCACTGGAGGATTTTTACATCTGGAACAGGACCGTAAATACACACGCAAATAAACACTTTATTTTTTTCAATTATTCAACAGGTTTTTAATAATTATAATGCAATTATAGATTAATACATTTAAAAAGGTTTTATATTATGTAAAATAAACTCATCTGAGGTTTAAGTCATGTTCTAATGCTGTTCCCTCAAAAACAGACCTGGAATTGTATTTTGTCTCCTGCATTATTACATTATCTACATCTGCAAAGGTCAAAATGTTAAACCAGATTTTATTTTCTTTAATTATAATATTTTTCTTTATGCTTTTCATCACATGATCCATGAAAAGAATAAACATCTGTTGTGGGTTGCTAAAAGACAAAATGCAGTTTCAGGTCTGTATCTCTGATTAGGGAAATGCAGTGAAGCAGGACTAAAAGCTCAAAGTGAAAAAACAATAAAATGAAGACTAACATGGACAAACTTCAGATAAAATCTCTTTCTAATAAAAGAATCATTATATATCATTTAGAGCCTTTAATTGTTGACACTAACACAGAGCTCAGTTCCACAGTCTGGAGTTTCTGAAGCCTGATCTCCAGCTTTTTGAGTCTGACTTTAGACTCACTTGATCCGGCCTCAGCAGCTCTTTCTCCTTTAGTGTGTTCAAGAGGGTGCACCTTCAGATGACCAGCTTGTCTCAAAGTCGTCCCACATTGGTCAGAGCTGCAGCTTTTCTCTTCACTCTGGAACATTTGGACATGTTTCAGACGGTTCCTCACAGACCTGAAATCCTTCCCCTCTTTCTCCACAGTCGTCTGGTTTGTCTCCTGTGTGTGTTCGATAGTGACTGGAGAGCTCCTGGGATGTTCTAAAAGCCTCTTCACACTGGTCACACTCATATAGTATCAACCAGGGGTGAGTTCTCATGTGTGCATTTAGATTGGATGACTGAGAGAAAGTTTTCCCACACTGGTCACACTCGTATGGTTTCTCTCCTGTGTGGATTCTCATATGTTCAGTGAGTGCACCAGAGTTTTTAAATCTCTTCCCACACTGGTCACAGCTGTATGGTCTTTCTCCTGTGTGAGTTCTGTAGTGTCTTTTCAGGTCCGAAGATTTTAGGAACACCTTTCCACATTGGTCACATTCGAATGGCCTCTCTCCTGTGTGGACTCTCACATGTGCTACTAGGTTGGCTAACTGTGAAAACGTCTTCTCACACTGGTCACAGCTGTACGGTTTTTCTCCTGTGTGAGTTCTGTAGTGTCTTTTCAGGTCCGAAGATTTTAGCCACACCTTTCCACATTGGTCACATTCGAATGGCCTCTCTCCTGTGTGGAGTCTCACATGTGATATTAGGTTGGCTAACTGTGAAAATGTCTTCTCACACTGGTCACAGCTGTACGGTCTTTCTCCTGTGTGAGTTCTGTAGTGGATTTTAAGTCTGGAAGGACTTGGCCACACCTTTCCACACTGGTCACAGCTGTACCGTTTTTCTACTGTGTGAGTTCTGTAGTGTCTTTTCAGTTTGGAAGCATTTGGCCACACCTTTCCACACTGGTCACATGTGAAGGTCATTCTTTTGGTGGATCTTGTAGCTCTGCATTAAAACAAAGAAAGTGTCAAGTAAAATCACTTTTTTAACTGTTCAAATAAAGTATCTCTCACTAAAAACACATAAAATCACACATAGTAAATCATATGTGAGAATGTTTCAGTGTTTTACAAGCAAATTCCATTTGACTGAATGAATCAACTCAGTTTGTATTTTATTTTAAAGTCACACTTTTTCTGTCTGTAGCAAAAAAAAGATCAAATTAAGGAAACATAAACAGAGACATTGAGCAACTTTGTTGCTCTGATTCTAATCCACATGTTGAGCAGATCTGATAAATGTGACACAGGTGAAGACAGAAGCCAGGGCTTTGGTGAAACAGAACAACTTTAATTGTGTAAGGACAGAAAAACAGCTCTGCTGAGTCATGGGGTCTGACCGTTAACAACAGTTTACACTGAACTGTGCTGCTTCTGCTCTATGACTCTGCACTAATACTTTAGTCTTTACACACTTATTTCCTATATTTTCTGTTACAGGTTTTGTACAAAAGAAAAACAAGTTAATATAAATAACCCTGAACTTGACCAAACACAAATGTATTTTCATGTGCTGCTCTAATCAGTCTCTTGTATCAGCAGAACTTGAAATGACAGATTCTAGTCGTACACAGCAGTAAACTACACATTAATAAACTAAAACACGGTTTATAAACATTTACAGACAAACACTGGAAGAGCTACCGCCGTTAGCAGGTAACGGCAGGTAACAGATCGTTTATAACAACAGAATAACTTCAAAATACAACTTGGCTTCATAAAACATATTTCTAGACTTGTATAAACATCCTGTGTTGTAAATCACGTGGTGCTTGTGCATTTAACCCACCTGTAAACACAGAAAAACACAGAAGAATAGCTCAACATTAAGTGTTAGTGGGGGGTGCCTTTTTATTACGAATATTTCCAGGGTGCCACACCCTCCTCTGCTTCATTAAAAAAAAAAAAAAAAAGTGTAACTATTTTTTCCCAGTCTTATACAAAAGCAGTGTCCCCTGTGTAGCAGCTCTGAAGACAGTGTCATGTTTTCAATGAGGAAAAGCAAAATGGAAGCCTATAGCTTAAACATGTCAAACTCAGGCCCGGGGGCCAAATTCGGCCCACAATAAAATTATATTTGGCCAGCGAGATCATATCATATATGTATTAGAGCTGCCCGCCAGCTACAGATAGGCTATAGAAACATTATTTAAAATGTTGTTATTATTTTATATTCTGCTTGTTCCAGATTCAGTGTTGAAGAAAAAATATTATTAAACATTTATTTTAATAAGAAAAGGTTTAATATCTCGAAAGAAGAGAAAACAGATGTATGCAGATGCAAATGCAGATGTTGTTGGCATTTTTTCAATAAATATTTAGTTTGGCCCACGACTTAAATCCCAGTTCTTAATTTTGGCCTCTATGAATTTGAGTTTGACGCCCCAGCTGTAGCTTATTTAGCGTTCGCTCAAAAAAATTGCAAAATGGACAAAATCAATGAAAAAATAATGAATGAATGAATATTTCT